ATATTTAAAAAACTAAACCTGTCATGGAAGTTGTTGATGCATATTCAATGGGCCCCACCTTGCAACAACATACACTTTCTTTTTGTAATATATTTTAATTGAAGAGTTGAAAGTGCAGAAGAGTAACAACGCTGTTACACTTCTATTTTATATCCCAGATTGAACACACATTTATGAATAATTGCATTAATCAAGTGTGCAGCACTACGTACAAAATGGTTTAGACAATAAGCTCCTGTATAGTTTGAATTGCTATCCTTATTTTGTTTGTCTATATACTATGGTATTTACGGTATGCTATTAGCTGCAGTCACGTAAATCAAATCAAATCAAATTGTATTTATCACATCCGCCGAATACAACTGGTGTATACATTACAGTGAAATGCTTCCTTACGAACCTTTCCCATCAATGCAGAGTTTAAAAAAATAGTAACTAACACAAGAGGGACAAAATAAAATACACAAGAATGGAGCTATATACAGGGAGGGTAAAGTGACTAGGCATCCGGATAGATAATAATAAGAGGAAAATAAAGAATAAAGAGTAGCAGCAGCAAATTATGAGTGTAGAGGTGCATGAGTGTGCGTGTGTGAGTGTGCATGTTTGTTTGTGTTGTGTCGATATATGTGTCTGTGTGTACAGTTGAAGTCGGAAGTCGGAAAACTTGTTTTTCAACCACTCCACAAATTTCTTGTTAACAAACTATCGTTTTGGCAAGTCGGTTAGGACATCTACTTTGTGCATGACACAAGTAATTTTTCCAACAATTGTTTACAGACAGATTATTTCACTTATAATTCACTGTATCGCAATTCCAGTGGGTCAGAAGTTTACATACACTAAGTTGATTGTGCCTTTAAACAGCCTGGAAAATTCCAGAAAATGATGTCATGGCTTTAGAAGCTTCTGATAGGCTAATAGACATCATTTGAGTCAATTGGAGGTGTACCTGTGGATGTATTTCAAGGCCTACCTTCAAACTCAGTGCCTCTTTGCTTGACATCATGGGATAATCAAAAGAAATCAGCCAAGACCTCAGAAAAAAAATTGTAGACCTCCACAAGTCTGGTTCATCCTTGGGAGCAATTTCCAAACGCCTGAAGGTACCACTTTTTTTTATTTATTTAACCTTTATTTAACTAGGCAAGTCAATTAAGAACAAATTCTTATTTACAATGACGGCCTCCACCGGCCAAACCCGGACGACCCTGGGCCTATTGTGCGCCGCCCTATGGGACTCCCAATCACGGCCGGTTGTGATACAGCCTGGAATCGAACCAGGGGGTCTGTAGTGACGCCTCAAGTACTGAGATGCAGTGCCTTAGACCGCTGCGCCACTCGGGAGCCCTTCATCTGTACAAACAATAGTACGCAAGTATAAACACTATGGGACCACGCAGCTGTCATACTGCTCAGGAAGGAGACGCGTTCTGTCTCCTAGAGATTAACGTACTTTGGTGCGAAAAGTGCAAATCAATCCCAGAACAACAGCAAAGGACCTTGTGAAGATGCTGGAGGAAACAGGTACAAAAGTATCTATATCCACAGTAAAACGAGTCCTATATCGACATAACCTGAAAGGCCGCTCAGCAAGGAAGAAGCCACTGCTCCAAAACCGCCAAAAAATAGCCAGACTACGGTTTGCAACTGCACATGGGGACAAAGATCGTAATTTTTGGAGAAATGTCCTCTGGTCTGATTAAACAAAAATAGAAATGTTAATGACCATAATGACCATCGTTATGTTTTGAGGAAAAAGGGGGTGGCTTGCAAGCCGAAGAACACCATCCCAACCGTGAAGCACGGGGGTGGCAGCATCATGCTGTGGGGGTGCTTTGCTGTAGGAGGGACTGGTGCACTTCACAAAATAGATGGCATTATGAGGAAGGAAAATTATGTGGATATGTTGAAGCAACATCTCAAGACATCAGTCAGGAAGTTAAAGCTTGGTTGCAAATGGGTCTTCCAAATGGACAATGACCCCAAGCATACTTCCAAAGTTGTGGCAAAATGGCTTAAGAACAACAAAGTCAAGGTATTGGAGTGGCCATCACAAAGCCCTGACCTCAATCCTATAGAAAATGTGTGGGCAGAACTGAAAAAGCGTGTGAGAGCAAGGAGGCCTACAAACCTGACTCAGTTACACCAGCTCTGTCAGGAGGAATGGGCCAAAATTCACCCAACTTATTGTGGAAGGCTACCTGAAACGTTTGACCCAAGTTAAACAATTTAAAGGCAACGCTACCAAATACTAATTGAGTGTATGTAAACTTCTGACCCACTGGGAATGTAATGAAAGAAATAAAAGCTGAAATAAATCATTCTTAAAATAAAGTGGTGATCCTAACTGACCTAAGACAGGAAATCTTACTAGGATTAAATGTCAGAAATTGTGAAAAACTGAGTTTAAATGTATTTGGGTAAGGTGTATGTAAACTTCTGACTTCAACTGTACTTTCTGCCCTGGTAGTTGAACACTTATTCAGATTGAAGAGTGACGTAGCAAAAACATTGCTCAGCTATTAAGATTTTTACTGTAGGAGTGTTGGGCTCAACGAGACAATTCTGTTTACATTGTCCTTCTTGGAGGGGGGCAACTCTCGGGCGAGGGTCGTGTGCTACCTCCGGTGGTCGAGACGTGAGAAATTCACAGCTTTACATTACAGTAATACATCTATTCTCAGGATTTTTTTTATACCTCTCGAGAATCTCCTTCAATCTCCTGAAATGTTTTAGTCTACTGTATGTGGAAGCTATCTCATACCTCAGACATAGGCTTTATGTAGCTTTACCTTCTAATAATGACATTTATGTCCTTGTCTAACTCCTTGTCTAGTTATTCATAAGATTTTCAGTATTTTAATTTGACCATGCCAAAAATGTTGATCAGTGCCACACCTAAGATACAATCACCCAGACTGATGGCTGGGATTAATTTATGAATGAGCCTCTGTTACATTTGGTGCAGGGAAAGTAATCAGTTATAGTGTAGTGGGAACCTGAACAAAAACCAGTGGCTTTAGTCATCATAACCTTTGATTTGGAAAGCTTATTGACATTAGTAGAGGAAAAGTTACAGTTGATGAATGCAAGTTATTCATTCTTAAGCTGCTTGCTTGGTAAATGTTACAGGCATCAATTTCCACTACCTGTACACAATAAATACATGTTTGTGTCTTTAGTGCATGATTAAATGTGATCAGTTGAAAAAATTTAATTTGGAGAGAAATGTATTACTGTTACTGCAAAACTAGTGAAAGCAAGATAAAGTATGTAAAAAATAAAGACCATGGAGAAACGGCCAGCATTTGGTTTTCAGTGATAATTTAATCATACAAATGTTAATTCAAACATACAGGAAAAGGGCTTTTATTTCTTTGCTCTGACTCTGTGTCTCATAAATGTGCTGCTGTAGAACTCTAGCGCCAAGTCATCCATTCACCACTCTGACCCCTGAAAACTTCATAGAAAGAAAAGAAAAATCTACCAAACCCAAAAAGAAGCAAACATATCACTCAGTACATACATGACATCCGATTGTAAATGAAAAAGATAAGAATGGGGATGTGTCCCAAATGGTATGGTACCCTATTCCCTATCTAGTAAGGGAACTATAAAGGGAATTGGGGGCGATTTGAGACGCAACCAGGGAGATTAGAGGGCAGTGTATACGTTTTTTTTTACCACGAGGAGAAATGTTTCTGTCATTACCATGCTTCATAAGTTTCAAGAGCACATGCAATTGATCTAAGATATTTCCAACTGCCTTCAGGGAAACTGTTACCTTGGCAGATTAACCATGACAGGAGGTGTGGTTCTGGACAATGATACTGCTGTGACATTGTCATAGTACACACAGTCATCCCTGGGGGTAAATGAGTGTGCTGCTGTTTGTTGCAAAGTGAATATTTGAAAAAGGCAATCTCGCTAGCCAGGTTGTCAAAGTCTTCACTGGTTGCAGATGGAAAGATAACAAAACCAAGAGGTCAAGGCATGTAGCCTTCCAGGCATGAAACTGAAGCGAAAAGACAACTGGCCATCATAAGGAGCAATAGTAAAATATCTCACGTTTGGGCTGGAGGCCAAACTACTCAGTGCATAGAGATTAGCCAGTTAGTGCAAGTAACTTAAAGGTCATGAACAGTCAAAATCATGTTTTTCATGAAATTGAATGAGATTTGGATGAAACTAGAACAAAGTATGATGACCAAAGTATGAAAAATGACCGTTGCTTCTACAATGATAAAGTTTGATCATAAAGTTACTGGTCCCCTCCCCCATGTCAAACACTTGGATTCATTATTAAGGGGAGAAGGTGTCATCACCTTAACTCTCATTTTAAGTACACTAATGGTAACATGATATTCTCTTACCTAATTTATATAATTACCGCCTTATAACCAACATCGGAGAAGGCGTGTTTAAGGAGGGGCTTGGTTTATATAGCTAGATAGCTACTCTACTGGTGCCAACACTTTACTGTAGGGTATCAGCAAATATAATTAAAAGTTTCCCCTATTCATCTGTGGAAAAGACACATATGTCTCCCCATTCATCTGTGTCTGGTGTTAGCTAGTTTCTGGCTAGCTAGATCTTCAGTCAGCATGGAACAAAAGGGGGGGGGGGGGGGGGGGGGGGGTCGTTCAAAACGTAGTTCTGACGTAGTTGTCATGTCAACACATCCGTCAGTGCTGCTGTGAACCGCATCACAAGAGACATGCCAAATGGGAGATGTATAAAAACTAATTATATCATTGATGCAAATTTCAATGTTGTTTGAGTTGCTTTATGTATTACCAAATTAGCTTGAGATAATTGTATTGCAACACCGCTCACTGCATCCAAGTTGCTTGACATAGGCATTTCAAAGAGCTGTCAGTCAAGCCGAGCTGTCAGTCATGAATAGAAGCGCCCTGCCCACTCAGCCTGTCTCTTCAAACTTCCTGGTAGTTAGCCATGAGAGAAAAAGTACTTTTCTGAATGACTGTTCAGAACCTTTAACACATTCTTTACATAACTGTTGGGGAACTAATGAATTGACTACCGGTACAAACAAATATTTAAATGAATGAGTTGTTTAACATTTTAATGTCTGAGCAAGAGGACACTAATTGTGAATTCAGAATTTTCCCTCAACAGTTTATTCCAAAGCCCAGGACAATGCATCATTAGCAAAATTGCTAGAAAAATCAGAAAACATTATTAAATCAAGCTGTCTTTTTCAAGGCAAATGTATAAGATCTTTGGGCAAAATAAGCAAAGATGCTTCAAAACAACATAGCTCTACATTCAGCAAATACATTCAACTCAAGATGATAAAAGCCAGAAACGTCACTGCTTTGCAACATGGGGACTTTTGCAATCTCACAGAACAAATGAAGCCATATGAAAACAAATTGAACCTACAGGGTGGTGATTCAAATCTACTTTCCACTTATTGACCCTGATTTGAGTAGATGTTAGTTCATGTTTCTTTTTTGTTGTTGACAGGACTGGGCAACTGCAATTTTGATAAAGACCTCCCTCTAGTGGATGGATATACTTTAGCTCAACTTCAGAGTAACATAATCAAAAGTGAAGCTACAGCAAATAGTGAACAGGATTTGTATGTGAATAAGCTGTTCTTCATTTGATGTTACCAGAAAACATCAACAACAACACATACATATCAGGCTGCTGAATTTGTGGAATTACTCTCCTGTCCCTGAAAAGTATACACTGTGAAATTAGGATAAAAAAGTAAGAAGAGAACAGAGATTACATTTTTAAAAGTCAGTTTAAGAACTAGAGGACCAGTACGCAAAATAAATGGCTTTTCCTCCCTAGTCTGTCTCTTTCAGGTTGCAGAACACACGCAAACACACCCACCCACGCGCAAGCACACTGACGCAAACAGACACACACTCCTCCTTTCAACACTGTAGTCTCAACTGCATTCAGACACGACAACTAAAAAACAAAAAATAAAGATCAGAAAAAAAACCTGTCTCATCTCTTTTAAAAAGATTTGTAGCACTCTCATTTTTAACTTAGCATTCACACATGCATACACTGGATGTGGGATGTTGTTGGTTGAGTCGTATGCTGGGACAGAACAGAGCAGCTTTGTCTTCTGGTTTCTGTTTGTTTTGCGGTAAAGTGGAGGGGGGACTTTGCATAAGTGTTTATATGAATCTCAGGATACTCCACCAGCCACAGGTAAAGCCTCCTCCCTCATTAGTTGGTGTGAATCCAGGAACACAGTGCTGCCTGGCTGTGAAGATGTTTCCCATGTTTTAAGACTGCCCAAAAGGATAGGGTCCGTGAATACCCTGTGGGGAAAATAAAGAAACATTTTGTGGATATAGAAAAATATTAATAAATACAAAGTTTTGGTTATACTGATGAGCTATAGTATATTAAACATTGAAGGGTATTGTTGCTTCATTAGGCCTTACCTGGCTGTAAGTCACTACTGATAGGTTGCTTTGGAGACCGTTTGTTGCTATATTCACAGAGTTTTGTGACCGTCCATTTTGCTCTTGCTGCATTTGGTCCGGGCCACCCTCCCAGGTGTCCGCGGGGTCCTTGAGACCGCTATCGTCACGGTGACTGTTGTCGTTGCTGCCGGCGTGTTTCTGTGGAGAGGCGAAGGGGTTGTAGTCTCCCTCCACGTTGCGGGCAGGCTGGGTGTTAAACTCTGCCTGGAAGGAGGACAGCTGCTGCGTCACACCCAGGAGGCCTCCCACCTCCACGCTGAGGATCACCCAGATCACATCTACAGTGGGGAAAGAACAATGTTAACACTCCACTGGGGGAAAGGTATTCTAAAACTACACCCAGTATAAGCATTAGACCTTCAATATATTCAAGTGATGAAAACGTTGCCTTTGGTGAATTCAACATTAGACTGCGGTAACACGTTACATCAAAGTATACTTTATAAAGGCTGTAAAAAAGGTTTATGAGTGGTTTGAACAATAAATACATTTATAGATAGTTTATTAATCTGTAATAAACAGTTATAAACAGTTATGTGCTAGTCATTTAGTTGGTTGCCAAATAAAGTTTCTCACCCCCATAGAAGAGTCCGGTGGCTGTGCACATCCTCCACTGGCCTTGGTACATGCCAGGAGCCACTGGGCTGCGCATCTGCACACTGACGTCAGCCATCTCCTGGGGGTCTAATGAGCGCACCATCACCATGTTCACATGACCAAACTGGTCCCCTCCAACATACTTCAGACATACCCCAGGGGGCCACGACTCTGTTCCTGCAAGAGACAAACAAATTACACGAAGAAATTAATAAACCATAACCTCAATTGCCAGCCGCAGTAACAATCAGTAGCTTGTTAGGGATGCTGTTTACTACTAGGGTGGAACTTCAAAGCCTGAGAGCTATGAGAGCACAATAAGGCCTTGTCAACACTGGCTGTGACTGTGTGCAGTTCCTAAAGGGTCTTTTCACTTCAACCAACCTGTGTTCTGTATCCTCCACGTCTTAGTGAATGGTGTGTCAGGGGGAACAGACTCCCCCTCACCGATCGTCACATCCCCAACAAAAGACATGCATGGTGCATTGATGTTGGGGCTTTCAAAGTCATAGTAGGCTCCGATGGCTGCTTGTAAGTTCCTATGAGAGACGTAAATGGGGGAAAGGAATGGATATCAGTTAAAACACAACTATCCCCGTTTTGATGCACAGGGTGGAGGTTGAAAAGAGGGGGAAATAAAGCAAGGAAATCAGAAGCAAAAAGATCATATTTCTACTAAAGGAAGGGCTGTTTATTGAAGTAAACTTAACCCGTTACACTCGTACCCGTATACGGGTTGAAAATGGCAGATTTGAGCACATAAGTGCCTGAATTAAGCTTGGTCTCATAGATTAGACGTAACATAGTAAACGCAAATATACTGAACAAAAATATAAGAAACAACAATTTCAAAGATTTTACTGAGTTACAGTTCATATAAAGGAAATCAGTCAATTGAAACAAATTCATTAGTCCCTGATCTATGGATTTCACATGACTGGGAATAGAGATATGCATCTGTTGGTCACAGATACCTTAAAAAAAAAATTAAAAAAAATACATAAAAAATAAGGTAGGGGCATGGATCAGAAAACCAGTCAGTATTTGGTGTGACCACCATTTGCCTCATGCAGCGCGACATCTCCTTCACATAGTTGATAAGGCTGTTGATTGGGGCCTGTGGAATGTTGTCCCACTCCTCTTCAATGGCTGTGCGAAGTTGCTGGTGATTGGCGGGAACTGGAACATGTGGTCGTACACGTCGATCCAGAGCATCTCAAACATGCTCAATGGGTGACATCTCTGGTGAGTATGCAGGCCATAGAAGAACTGGGACATTTTCAGCTTCCAGGAATTGTGTACAGATTTTAGCGAAATGGGGCCGTACATTATCATGCTGAAACATGAGGTGATGGCGGCAGATGACTGGCATGACAATGGGCCTCAAGATCTCGTCACGGTATCTCTGTGCATTCAAATTGCCATTGATAAAATGCAATTGTGTTCGTTGTCCGTAGCTTATGCCTGCCCATACCATAACCCCCACAGCCACCATGGGGCACTCTGTTCACAACGTTGACATCAGCAAACCACTCGCCGGTTTCTATTTAAAAAAACGTTGAGGCGGCTTATGGTAGAGAAATTAACATTAAATTATCTGTCAACAGCTATGGTGGACAATCCTCCAGTCAGCATGCCAACTGCACACTCACTCAAAGCTTGAGACATCTGTGGCATTGTGTTGTGACAAAACTGCACATTTTAGAGTGGCCTACCTTTGAGCTACTTTGCATGTTAGCTAACCATTCCCCTAACCTTAATAGTTTAACCTAACTTCTAAACCTTACCCATAGCCTAGCGAACGTTAGCCACCAAGCTAACATTAGCCGCAACAAATTGGAATTCGTAACATATACGTTTTGCAAATTCATAACATATGTGAAATGGATGATGGACATCTACAAATTAATACATACCATATGAAACACACACACACACACACACACACACACACATACAGTGAGGGAAAAAAGTATTTGATCCCCAGCTGATTTTGTACGTTTTCCCACTGACAAAGAAATGATCAGTCTATAATATTAATGGTAGGTTTATTTGAACAGTGAGAGACAGAATAACAACAACAAAATCCAGAAAAACGCATGTCAAAAATGTTATAAATTGATTTGCATTTTAATGAGGGAAATAAGTATTTGACCCCCTCTCAATCAGAAAGAATTCTGGCTCCCAGGTGTCTTTTATACAGGTAACAAGTTGAGATTAGGAGCACACTCTTAAAGGGAGTGCTCCTAATCTCAGCTTGTTACCTGTATAAAAGACACCTGGGAGCCAGAAGCAATTAATCAATCAGATTCCAAACTCTCCACCATGGCCAAGACCAGAGAGCTCTCCAAGGATGTCAGGGACAAGATTGTAGACCTACACAAGGATGGAATGGGCTACAAGACCATCGCCAAGCAGCTTGGTGAGAAGGTGACAACAGTTGGTGTGATTATTTGCAAATAGAAGAAACACAACATAACTGTCAAATCTCCCTCGGCCTGGGGCTCCATGCAAGATCTCACCTCGTGGAGTTGCAATGATCATGAGAACGGTGAGGAATCAGCCCAGAACTACACGGGAGGATCTTGTCAATGCCACCAAGTACTAAGTCATGTTTTGCAGAGGGGTCAAATACTTATTTCCCTCATTAAAAGGCAAATCAATTTATAACATTTTTGACATTTGTTTTTCAGGATTTTTTTGTTGTTATTCTGTCTCTCACTGTTCAAATAAACCTACCATTCAAATTATAGACTGATCATGTCTTTGTCAGTGGGCAAACGTACAAAATCAGCAGGGGATCAAATACTTTTTTCCCCCTCACTGTATATATATATATATATATATATATATATTTTTTTATAAATATAATTTCTCTGCTTGAGGCCCCCCTCATACTTGGCTCAAAGCAAAAAAAATCCCCATCAACATCCGTCTGCAATGATAGGTGGCCGAGTTTGTCAGACCAGGAGACATCCCGGAAAATCGGTCTTCTCACAGTACCGGGCCAACAAATGAATGGAAGTGAATAGGGCCTTTCCACGTAAAAAGGTATACACTGTGTGCACAATTATTAGGCAAGTTGTATGTTTGAAGATTCATTGTATTATTTAACAACTACAGTGCTCTCGGTCAATCCAAAATGTTAATAAAACCTCAAACCTGAATATTTAAGAAAGTAAAAGTGAGGTTTTGGCTTTCTTTGGAGAATATCTGTGTGCGCACAATTATTGGGCAACTATTAGTGTGCAGAATTATTATGCAACTAAATGAAAAACAAAAAGTTCCCCATCTCACTTGTTTATTTTCATCTGTTAATGTGAGAATAATAAACAAACAACTCAAAATTTACAAATAAACATTTGACATTTTCAGTGACCAATATAGCCACCCTTCTTTTCAATAACAGTCATAAGCCTTCCATCCATGGCGTCTGTCAGTTTCTTGATCTGTTGATAATCAACTTTTTGTGCAGCAGCAACCACAGCCTCCCAGACACTGGTCAGAGAGGTGTACTGTTTTCCTTCACCGTAAATTGACGGTTTAAGAAGGGACCACAAGTTCTCAATAGGGTTTAGGTCAGGTGAGGAAGGGGGCCATGTCATTACTCTTTCATCATTAAGGCCTTTAATGGCTAGCCACGCAGTGGAGTACTTTGATGCATGCGATGGAGCATTGTCCTGCATAAAAATCATGGTCTTCTTGAAAGATGCAGACTTTTTCCTGTACCACTGCTTGAAGAAAGTGTCTTCTAAAAACTGGCAGTAGGTTTGGGAGTTGAGTTTGAGTCCATCTTCAACCCAAAAAGGTCCAACTAGCTAATCTTTAATAATACCAGCCCATTCCAGTACCCCACCTCCACCTTGCTGGCGTCTGAGTCGAAGTGGAGCTCCGTGCCCGTTACGGATCCAGCCATGGGCCCATCCATCTGGTCCGTCAAGAGTCACTCTCATCTCATCAGTCCATAAAACCTTTGAAAAATCTGTCTTCAGATATTTCTTGGCCCAGTCTTGACGTTTCAACTTATGTGTCTTGTTCAGTGGTGGTCGGGTTTCAGCCTTCCTTACCTTGGCCATGTCTCTGAGCACTGAACACCTTGTACTTCTGGGCACCAGGTAGGTTGCAGTTTTGGAATATGACAGCACTGGAGGATAATGGGGTTCCTGGTAGCTTCACGTTTGATTCTTCTCAAATATTTGGCAGTTCATTTGCGTCTTTTTTTCTCTCAACACGGTTCTTGCGACCCTGTTGACTATTTGCAACAAAACGTTTGATGGTTCTGTGATCACGCCCCAATTTCTTAGCTATTTCAAGAGTGCTGCATCCCTCTGAAATACTTTTTACCATTTTTGACTTTTCAGAGTCAGTTAAATCTCTTTTTTGGCCCATTTTGCCTGAGGAAAAGAAGCTGCCTAATAATTATACACACCTTGATATAGGGAGTTGATCTCCTTAGGCCACACCCTCCATCATTACACATCACCTGATATGCTTAAATCCAATAAGCATTCCAGTTTATACAGCTTGGAGTTGGGAAATATGCATAATAAATGATGATATGGTCAAAATACTGACTTGCCTAATAATTGTGCACACAGTGTACAGGTAATTCCATGGTAAATTACGATTTATATTTTTCTGAACTTTCTTATACATCTTTCAGATATTAGTGCTTTTGGAAAGTATTCAGACCCCTTGACTTTTTCCACGTTTTGTTACAGCCTTAGTAAAAAAAGAAATAATAATACTTTTTTTTAATCAACAAACACACACACACAACCCCATAATGACAAAGCAAAAACGTTTATTTGTAAATGTTTTAAGGGTATTCAGACCCTTTACTCAGTACTTTGTTGAAGCACCTTTGGCAGTGATTACAGCCTCGAGTCTTCTTGGGTATGACGCTACAAGCTTGGCACACCCGTATATGGGGAGTTTCTCCCATTCTTCTCTGCAGATCCTCTCAAGCTCTTTCAGGTTGGATGGGGAGCGTCTCTGCACAGCTATTTACAGGTCTCTCCAGAGATGTTAGATCGGGTTCAAGTCCGGGCTCTGGCTGGGCCACTCAAGGACATTCAGAGACTTGTCCCGAAGCCACTCCTGCGTTGTCTTGGCTGTGTGCTTAGGGTTGTTATCCTGTTGGAAGTTGAATCTTCCCCCCCAGTCAGAGTTTTCATCAAGGATCTCAATGTACTTTGCTCCGTTCATCTTTCCCTCGATCCTGACTAGTCTCCCAGTCTCTTCCGCTGAAAGACATCCCCACAGCACGATACTGCCACCACCATGAGTCACGGGTAGGGATGGTTTCAGGTTTCCTCCAGACGTGACGCTTGGCATTCAGGCCAAAGAGTTCAATCTTGGTTTCATCTGACGAGAGAATCTTGTTTCTCATGGTCTGGGAGTCCTTTAGGTGCCCTTTGACAAACTCCAAGCGGGGATCATGTGCCAATTACTGAGGAGTGACTCCTGTCTGGCCACTCTACCATAAAGGCCTAATTGGTGGAGTGCTGCAGAGATGGTTGTCCTTCTGGAAGGTTCTCCCATCTCCACAGATGAACTCTGGAGCTCTGTCAGAGTGACCATCAGGTTCTTGGTCACCTCCCTGACCAAGGCCCTTCTCTCCCCGATTGCTCAGTTTGTCTGGGCGGCCAGCTCTAGGAAGAGTCTTGGTGGTTCCAAACTTCTTCCATTTAAGAATGATGGAGGCAACTGTGTTCTTGGAGACCTTCAATGCTGTAGAAATGTTTTGGTACCCTTCCACACAATTCTGTCTCAGAGCTCTAAGGACAATTCCTTCGACCTCATGGATTGGTTTTCGCTCTGACATGCACTGTCAACTGTGGGACCTTATATAGACAAGAGTGTGCCTTTCCAAATCACGTCCAATCAATTGAATTTACCACAAGTGGACTTCAATCAAGTTGTAGAAACATCTCAAGGATGCTAAATGGAAACATGATGCACCGGAGCTTAATTTAAAGTCTCATAGCAAAGGGTCTGAATACTTAAGGTACTTCTGTTTTTTATTTTTTAAACATTAGCAAAATACAATTTAAAAAAACTGTTTTCGCTTTGTCATTATGGGTTATTGTGTGTAGATTGATGAATAATTTTTTCAGAATGCACTGTAGGAGAGACAAGTTTGATAACATATTTGACCATCTTGTTTTTCCATGTATGAATCTGTTATTAAATGTGTTTCTATGGGCTAATAGCAGTGAGGCCAAATTCAATGTTTCATGAAATATTTGTTATATACAGTACCAGTCAAAAGTTTGGACACACCTACTCATTAAAGGGATTTTCTTTATTTTTACTACTTTCTACATTGTGGAATAATAGTGAAGACATCAAAACTATGAAATAACACATATGGAATCATGTAGTAACCAAAAAAAATAAGTGTTAAACAAATCAAAATATATTTTATATTTGAGATTCTTCAAAGTAGCCACCCTTTGCCTTGATGACAGCTTTGCACACTCTTGGCATTCTCTCAACCAGCTTCATGAGGTAGTCACCTGGAATTCATTTCAATTAACAGGTGTGCCTTCTTAAAAGTTAATTTGTGGAATTTCTTTCCTTCTTAATGCGTTTGAGCCAATCAGTTGTGTTGTGACAAGGTCTCCTGTAGCTCAGTTGATAGAACATGGCGCTTGCAACGCCAGGGTTGTGTGTTCGATTCCCACGGGGGGCCAGTATGAAAAATGTATGCACTCACTAACTGTAAGTCGCTCTGGATAAGAGCGTCTGCTAAATGACTAAAATGTAAAAGGTAATAAGGGCTTTTTTTCTAGCTTTGCACGACTTCAGCCCTGCCCCTAGGAGCCTGTTTCGAACCGTCCTCGCCGTGCACTTCACACCCCAGCTGCCGTTTGCCATTATTTTTGTAGGTCACTTGATGTCATTCTACATTTACATTTAAGTCATTTAGCAGAAGCTCTTATCCAGAGCGACTTACAAATTGGTGCATTCAACTTAGGACAGCCAGTGGGACAACCACCTTTATTTATTTTTTAAAAAATTGGTTGGGTTTCAAGTGTCTCTGGACCTACAGTTGTTGAGTGACATTCGAATGAGTTGGCGGTCATCCCGGTCAGTAGAGTCGTTTTCGCCCTCTGCCGGTCTGTAGCTTTGTTGTCTCCAATGTCTGTTGCTTGACCTTGTTCTTATGAACCGCCATCTTTGACATTTTAAGGATGGAAGCAACCTGACGCTCACTGTATCCCTCTGCCAGTAAAGCCAGAATTGAACCCTTCTTTTCCTCACCCAAAACGTTCCTTTTCAACTCTTTTGGCAATAGTTATTTTTTTATTAATATTACTTTTGAGGTACTATTAGCACTGTTTTTGCCATCCAGCTGGTCCTATTGCAAGAGGACAGTGATGACCACAGCAGTGGTTTTTATACTTTTCCTCGTTAAATAAGATTTGGTTCAGGTGATCACCTAATCAGCACCTAATTCAGTAAAATGAGGTGTGCCTGGGTTGGAATTCAACAGACACTGGAATGGAATGGCTGTCATACATGTAGAGATGCTGATTTAAGAAAAATGTATATATATATATATATATATATATATTACTTTTTTTGCGTGGCGTGCTAAGCCTTGGCTGGACGTTTATTATCTCACTTATTTTTGCCGGTTAATTTTTTTTAAAATAAACTGGACAAAATAATTGAAATTGCATGCATTCGTTTCGAAATTGCATTGGTATTCATTGCAACGTTGTAGTTCAAGGTATGTCAAATCCTGATTAGCCAATGGGCTTTCATGATTTTGCAGGAGTTTCATATTATTAGTTCAGCGCTAGACGACCCGCCTCGCCTCTCACGCCAAATTCAAAACCAAGGAAGCACTGAAGATTGGTTATATCTGTAGCTCAGCTGGTAGAGCACGGCGCTTGTAACGCCAAGGTAGTGGGTTCGATCCCCGGGACCACCCATACACAAAAATGTATGCACGCATGACTGTAAGTCGCTTTGGATAAAAGCGTCTGCTAAATGGCATATTATTATTATTATATTATTATTATTATTATTATTATAAGATGAGATTCGTTTTCACATGGCTAGAAGCTAGCAAGCCTTATTTTGTTATTTAAAAAAGTTCAGGGCACAAAATGTCATCAGCAATGAAAGAAAAGGCAGATGTCCGCTCATTTATTGCCTCTTGGATAAATATGGATACGTTTTACTGAAGGACCGGTCTGTTTGCGCTCTGTTGTAAAACTGTTGTTCGTCGGACATGAAGTGTACAGCGTTATTTTGAAACGAGACATGAGAAAAACTTAAAGGATGAGGTGGACACGGCTGAAGGAATCAAGAGGGCCGTGTCCAGGTATGAAAAGCAAAGCAGTGTGTTTACAAATCTACATGCAGTCAAAAATCAAGCTACAGAGGGGAGCTATAAAGTTGCGCAGTGTATTGCTAAACATGTAAAACCATTTACTAATGGGGAATAAATATATCAAGGAGGCTTTCCTCAGTAGTTCGCAGGCTTTATTTTATGGATTGCCTAACAAAGACAATCATCTCAAAGATAAAAGACTGAGTCAGGTTTGTAGGCCTCCTTGCTTGCACACGCTTTTTCAGTTCTGCCCACTAATTTTCTATAGGATTGAGGTCAGGGCTTTGTGATGGCCAATCCAATACCTTGACTTTGTTGTCCTTAAGCCATTTTGCCACAACTTTGGAAGTATGCTTGTGGTCATTGTCCATTTTCAAGACCCATTTGCGACCAAGCTTTAACTTCCTGACTGATGTCTTGAGATGTTGCTTCAATATATCCACATAATTTTTCTTCCTCATGATGCCATCTATTTTGTGAAGAGCACCAGTCCCTCCTGCAGCAAAGCACCCCCACAGCATGATGCTGCCACCCCCGTGCTTCACGGTTGGGATGGTGTTCTTCAGCTTGCAAGCACCCCCAAACATAACGATGGTCATTATGGCCAAACAGTTCTATTTTTGTTTAAATCAGACACACTAATAAGGACAGGGACACACTGATAACGAGAGGGAGCCAAGCCCACTGAAGCCACCACCCCTAAAGGCCTTTACTAACTAACAAGCCGGTCAACAGGAATTACATGCTCTGAGAAGTTTTTTTAGTCCCTTTCAAAATGTTCCTTGCTCATACAATTTGGCCAGATGTATTTTAGTGGACATTGACCTTTTGAATTATGCATGTTCCTCAGAGCAACACTACAGAAATGCTGCAAGCTGAATGTACAGCAACATACCTACTGTCATACGTGAGTGCAGCAGTTCTAATTTTAGACAGCGCATTCTGGAAGTGCAAATACATAGTCTCACATGATTCCAAATCAAGGCCTTCGAATGCCCATTTGCCATGATGTTGTTAGTTAACTAGTCCTAGTCAGTAGCAAAGCAAAACTGTAAAAATTTAACAGTCAATGAATGGGGTTATAAAGTTCACAACCATGGAAGATAAACTGTCCAGTAACATTACCAAGGACAAACAACGGCGAGACATGATGATGTGTATTGTGTACATAGTTACATTAATAAACAAATTGTGAAACGTTTCCACAGCAGAACACTGCTGTGTGGGGGCAAAACTTCCACCTGCAACATTGCTGCATGTGAAACTTGAACTGCACAACATGCTGACTGCAGCACGTGCCCATGATCTAAAGGAGGGTCTTGGTACCATAGAGATCCTATTAAATTACTAGAGGGGCTATGTCATAACCCTTAAAAGTTCCAGAATGGTATGAAAGCGGCAGCCATTATGGTGGTCAGGGAGAAATCCAAAACAGTCTAATTGGAATGAATGGCAGTAGAGGCATTGGAGATGCATTTCCTGCTTTACTTATGCAGGAAAATAAAAGTAAGGCATGTGATAAGATATTGTGGAATATAATTATTGTCAACCTAAAATATTGTCAAAGTTAGGCCTATAAATAGTTTATACAGGTGTTATACCAATTTTCTGTATAAATAGCTTTAAAATATATGTAGACAGATCATAAATGTCTTAGTGTTTGTTTTCTTGTAAAGCTGTGTTATAATGATACAATATCAGTAATTGTTGCATTTATAAGTCCTATCATCAACTGATTTCAGCCAGTGTATGGCTGTGGATTGACTGCACTGTATGTATGGAATGTTGGCATATCAGCAGTTAGCCCAAGACGTACTCTTAAGGAGCCTACGGTTACTCCTTAAGGTCCAAGGAAGTTATGTTATTTTCAAAGGTAGACTGGCTCTGGCAGCCAAAAAGTCTATCTAAACGTGAAATGATTCTCAATTGTGATACGGTTCAAGAAACATAAAGCCCTTTACTTTCATATCACATCAAAATAATTTCACAAATGCTAAATATACACTTACTGTACACTGTTTTAACCGGCTTTATCACAGTTGCAACCAACAGTATTTTTCAGTGACAACACGTTTCTGGCAGGCTTCTTCTGTTGCACACAGGTGTTCGGAGCATGCTAGATAACTAATTATCACAGGTGGTCCCTCTGTCTTCCGTAAACATGCGCTGTAACATGGAGATATGGCCATGTGGGAACGCTAACCCTATAAAAAGGTGTGTATCAATTTAACCTTTTGACAATTATTTCTCGCTGATATGAAAGGTCCTTATGCTTCCAAAACCATACCGCAAGCGATGCGTGTTAATGTTCAGAACGAGCATTGGGGCTCTTAACAAAACTCCTCCGTACAGAAGACACATCCAATGACTCCTCTAGTGTCTAAGCCTGGGGGAGGGTTCTACTAAGCTAACATATGGAATTGTTTTAAGATGGCCATAGCAAGCATCATTTAGCTATTTGATTTGGAATTTTAGGACCCCTTTAGGCATAGAAAATAACCAAATTATTTGATGAAATACTGAATTTGGCCTTACTGCTATTAGCCCATAGAAACGCATTGAATAACAGATTCATACATGGAAAAACAGCTAGTCAAAGAAAATATCAAAAGGAAGTTTTGAAGTGTGGTACCGGGCTAACTTCAGGTGAGTCTTGTGGGTGTCCTAGTGCAACTGACATGTATGTCTTCGTGAGAGACTCACCTTTCGATAGAGGTGTCATAATAGTTTGTTGTGTTATCGTATTTTGCCTATTCCACTGTTTGTAGAATGCATACTGGCATTTGAATATAGCGCGGGAAAAGGGAATCCGGACACACTGTAGACACGGTAGACTTTTAAATGTGGTTGTAGATGCATGACACGCTTGGAATTCCATGATCAGAACTCTATGATCAGAATACTAAAGCTGCATGAACTGTCAAGTCTAGACAAAGCCTTAAAGCTACAATATGTAACTTCTTGGGCAACTACCAAATTCACATAGAAATGTGAGTTATAGATCTGTCATTCTCGTTGAAAGCAAGTCTAAGACACGGTAGATGTTCTATGTGAGCTATTTATATGCTACACGTTCTTATGTTTCGTTTTTTTGTGTATTTTACTTTCGGTTTTTATTTTTCACACCAGCTTCAAACAGCTGAAAATGTTTTATTTTTGGTTTTGGTTATATTTCACAGTGGTTTAAATGGTACAATGATTCTCCATAGAATGACTGCTTCTTTTGTTACATAAACTGAAATTAGGCAAACTATTAGAATTGTAGCAACCAGGAAATGTCCGCATATTGCACCTTTAAACTGGTTGGCTGGCTAACAAACATGCTGTGCATATAATAATACAATTAATTGTTTTACACAATATCTTATCACAGCACTGGCAGACCATGGCTGATCTATACTCTCCCTAACCGGCAAAACGGCTGACCTTTTATACTGTCATAATAACAATCATGTCCATTCTGGTATTCTAATTATATGCTTGGTAACTTGTTGTGACCTAGGCCGGGGTCTTGTAATGCCTGGACACTTTCATGTGGAAATAAATAAATGTATTGTTGAAAAATAAAATCAGAGTGGACCAACGAGCCTCATTGGTTGTAGTTGCCTAGCTAGCTATGATGACAACTCTTGCTAAAGATGCCAGGCTAACGTTAATTCAAGAAGACCCTCTCCAGACATTATAATTAGTCTGACGGTAACATACATGTATACTAGAAAATGCAGATATGCAATTTACACGTCCCCCAGTAACGTTATAGAATGATAGTAAATAGACCCACATCTCATCTGTCAATGATATTTCAACCAAGGAAGTCCTAGCTGTAGCCAATTAGCTAGCTAGCAATCCAAATGACAATCCAATTAAATACATTTTACATCTAAGAATAGACACACAAAATAGTTGTTGCTCGTTGAATTGTAAATAAAAATAAAAATCACAAACAAACTGTTGGCTGACTATCCGTTATGCAACTAACTAACTAGCTCAATCCTCTACCTAGCTAGCTAAGTTAGCATTAGCAAACACAGAGAGGCCACAAGTCCCCGAGCTCACCAATTGGTCATGTCCAGGAAGAAGGCGCATCCAGCGGGGTTCAGTTGAAACCCAAGCAGTCTCTGAAACTCGGCTATGAGGATGTCTTTATCGGTAGTGCCCATGCAGCTAAATTTCTGCATAAGCTCCGGGTCCAGATCCAAATCCATGCCCTCCATCGCGGATTTCCCTGACAAGGGACAGGGTTCCTTTCCTAATTTAGTCCGAGGCCTCAACTTGTCATTAAAAAAAAGCCAACAACAACCCAAATGCGCATGACAGTGACAATTCTACGACTGATGCCGCGTTCAAAACAACTGGGAACTCGGAACTGGGTACTCGGAAATCTCCGACTTCCAACCTCAGTGCGTTCAAAACACTTGGGTACTCGGGGGAAAAAAATGAACCCCGACTGGGAAAAATCGATTTAAATGATCATCCGACTCGGAATTTCACCTCGGGAACTTGGGCCTCTTTCTAGTTTTTAAGTCGGAGATTTCCGAGTTCCCTGTTCTGTTGTTTTGAACGCAGCATACGTCAAACCATAGCCTATCCAAGAGGGTCGATGTAGCGAAATAATCAGCAAACTCGGAGGTCACACCTAAAACTGTCAACTATTTATTTTAGTTTCCTTAATAGATTATATAATCTGTAAATCGCTGCAACTATGAAACAGATACACTGTATTTTGTAATCGAATCCGCGCAGCGCCCAGCTCTGGCCGAACCTCTTGAACTAAGCCAGGTTGGCGTTCCAGGTCGCCTACATTGCAGATGTACTGCGCATTATCAGATCTCAGAATAACTTTTTGCACTACAAAATTATTTCTTATAAATGCATGCAGTATTCACAAAATGTAATGCCAAATGGCCAATACAGAAATGTGTCATACAATTTACAAGACATTGATTCTGTGCCCGTATTGTTTGCATTATGTGCAATACCGATAGTGGGGGGTGGTGGCGCTGCAGTTATTATGCGGACCCTCATGAGGACAAGTCTCCTCTCGCCTTAAAGCAGTCGTTGTTTACATAGACTTCCGGTAAAGGGAAAAGGTTTTTCAACGTTTGTTGTAAACCAGGCTGATCAAAATGCCGAAGTAAGTGTTTTATCTTTTGACTCTCAGTTGCATATTTCATCCATTATAAAGGGATTTTACCTTAATGAACACTGGACATGTATATCTAATAGATGTTCAGAACTAATGGAAGTTAGTTGTCTAATTTAATCGGCTTCAGCCAGAGCTTCAATCCTGGGAAGGAAGTGTAGCCAGTAGCAGCAGTATGATCATTCATAGCATACCTGTTTTGCTCCCTGATCATACTTTTATTTGGTTCTGTTATGGGAGCTGAAACATTTGCTCTGACGATTTTGTCCAGAGGTGTAGAGGTTTTTATACTCTGGTTCTACCTACATTGATGAAGTTGATCTAGCACTCAATGTCTGTTTATCCATCAGGTTTTATTGTGACTACTGTGACACCTACCTAACTCATGACTCGGTAAGTCTGCACAACATTGCTAGTAGAAGTGTTTCCTGATTGTATGTGGTTGATTCTGTCTTGAAGCCACATGTGATGAGTATTTATTCTCTAACCTTATTGTATATTCAGATTGTTTCAAGGTCAACATTGATGACTGTTCTGTGTTTGGTAGCCCTCTGTGAGGAAAACACACTGCAGTGGCCGCAAACACAAAGAAAATGTAAAAGACTATTACCAGAAATGGATGGAAGAACAAGCACAGAGCCTCATTGACAAAACAAGTGAGTAACACAAGAAAAATACATACTTTGACCAGTCTTTTTTACCTTGACGTGTTCAGCCACCATGACCATCTTAGGTGAAGAGGGGCCGGAAGGCTATTATGTCAGGAGTTCTAACTAATTTTGTTTCTCTTAGCTGCTGCCTTCCAACAAGGGAAGATGCCCCCAACACCATTCCCAGGAGCCCCACCTCCAGGGGGTGCCATGATCCCGCCACCAAACCTCAGTAAGGGCACTAGCGCCATGTACATTTCAGTTAGTATGCAAAGAGCACATCCAAGCTCGACCAAATTCCTCAGTTGGAGAGTAAATCTTACCACTCATTTACAAAAATGACTTTATATACACAAATATTTTGCCACTAATAAAAGGTCTGAGTTTCCTGGTAGTTATTGTTGTTGATGATGTTTTACCAATAGATGGCCCACCACGTCCAGGGATGCTACCAACACCCCAGATGGGTGGTCCTCCAATGATGCCCATGATGGGCGGAATGGGACCACCCCCACCTGGAATGATGGGTGGACCAGGTAGGATAACCTCAAACGGTTATTTATGTGATATACAGTGCATTCGGAAAGTATTCAGACCCCTTGACTTTTTCCCCATTTTGTTACATTACAGCCGTATTCTAAAATTGATTAAATATTTTTCCCCCTCAATCTACGCATGATACCCCATAATGACAAAGCAAAAACAGGTTTAGACATTTTTGAAAATATACACTACCGGTCAACATTTTTTGAACACCTACTCATTCAAGGGTTTCTTTATTTTTACTATTTTCCACATTGTAGAATAATAGTGAAGACATCAAAACTATGAAGTAACACACATGGAATCATGTAGTAACCAATAAAGTGTTAAACAAATCTAAATATGTTATATTTGAGATTCTTCAAATAGCCACCTTTTGCCTTGATGATAGCTTTGCACACACTTGGCATTCTCTCAACCAGCTTCACCTGGAATGCTTTTCCAACTGTCTTGAAAGAGTTCCCACATATGCTGAGCACTTGTTGGCTGCTTTTCCTTAATTCTGCGGTCCGACTCATCCCAAACCATCTCAATTTGGTTGAGGTTGGGGGATTGTGGAGGCCAGGTCATCTGATGCAGCACTCCATCACTCTCCTTCTTGGTAAAATAGCCCTTACCAGCAAAGCACCCCCACACCATAACACCTCCTTCTCCATGCTTTACGGTGGGAAATACACATGCGGAGATCATCCGTTCACCCACACAACGCCTCACAAAGACACGGCGGTTGGAACCAAAAATCTCCAATTAGGAGCAATGGACATTAGACCAGTTGAAACGTGTCCTTTGGTCTGGAGTCCAAATGTAAGATTTTTGGTTCCAACCGCCGTGTCTTTGTGAGACAATCCCCCGACCTCAACCCAATTTGAGATGGTTTGGGATGAGTCGGACCGCAAAGTGAAGGAAAAGCAGCCAACAAGTGCTCAGCATATGTGGGAACTCCTTCAAGACTGTTGGAAAAGCATTCCAGGTGAAGCTGGTTGAGAGAATGCCAAGAATGTGCAAAGCTGTCATCAAGGCAAAGGGTGGCTATTTGAATAATCTCAAATAAACAAATATTTTGGTTACTACATGATTCCATATGTGTTATTTCATAGTTTTGATATCTTCACTATTATTCTCAATGTATTTCTGTTTTTTTTATTTTTAATACATTTGCTATAATTTCTAAAAACCTTTTTTCGCTTTGTCGTTATGGGGTGTTGTGTGTAGATTGCTGAGAAATAATTTAATCAATTTTAGAACAAAGCTGTAACGTAACAAAATGTGGAAAAAGTCTAGGTGTCTAAATACTTTTCGAATGCACTGTACATACATAGACTCAAACAAGGGACGAGTGTGCTTCAGAGTTTGCCAGTATTGAGGAAACGTACTACCATCTTAAACTAAATAGTATCATCTGAAAACAGGAATGATTAAAACCATAACCTGTAAATGCTTTCTTTCCTACATTCTCAGGTATGCGACCTCCAATGGGTGGCCGAATGCAGATGATGCCTGGACATCACATGATGCGACCTCCCGGTCACCCAATGATGATGCGGCCAATGATGGCACGGCCAGACCGATAAACTCTCCCCGACTCCCTCAAACACACACTGTGGGTTTGTTCCACATGATCAGTAAATCTTATGTTCTCACTTCTCCCCTAAAGTAATTTGATTAGGGAAATCTATGGTTGATTAAGTTGGTCTAAAATATTTCATGAAGTCGCTGACAAGTGCCACAGTCCTCACATGTATCCACTTGATCTTAGAATCATTGTTAATTTTATGTCAAACTACAAAGTAGATTTGAAGGTGAGGAACAGATTCTGTGGAACTAACCTTTTGGCAAATCCCTCCCCACTCTACAGCTGTCTCTTGGACTTCACTTTACATAATACTGTTTTGGTCATCATTTCTTTGCTGTACTCTCACCCATTTTCCCTGGATGGATTTCATTTTTATTATGCTACAGATTTTATAACGATCCCCTCTACTCATTCCAATTTCCCTGCTCATCATTGTTAGTTTGGTGTCTTGGCACATGCTAAAGACAACAGGAACGTATGAAAAGGTTGTTGAATGTGTTTCTATCATTCACCTAGAAGTGTATTAAGTTCTATGTTTTTATTTTCAGTTGGCAGTACCAGTACGATGAAGCATTGTATCAACTGTTTAAAAAAAATAGCTGATGCTATTGACTGTGAATTTATTTTATAACGGTCTATTAAACGAAAATGATAACTTATTTGTCTGGTCGATAAGGTTTTCGTCTATTTGAACACCAAGTAGTATTTTGTATCCCTTGCTGTTCGGTATAAATTCAGCAGATGGCGCTAACGGAATATTTGTGGCACTATGTTTTTTGCTTGCTATGTTTTATGGGAAAAATACAATTACACAGAAATTACCGGTGGTGAATGAGAGGTAGCTTGTCATTTCGCTGAAGATGAGGTGGAGTGGAATGTGAAGAGAAGATACCTATACGCTAGCTAGCTACAAATAACTAAATGATTTAGATAGCTAGCTTATTCTCCCCAACACCGCAATGGCAGGAATAATCAAAAAGCAAATATTGAAACATTTGTCCAGGTAAGAAAGATTGCTAGCTAGCTTGGCTAACGTTAGCTAGACATCTGCTTTAACTTGGATGGGCCAGCTACGTGTAATACTGGCTAGGTATGTCAACCAAAGATGGCCAGATAGCAGGATACTTGTGACACAGCCCACTAGTTATGTCTTGTGTGTTGGATAAATCTGCTGGCAATCTCGCATGCTAGTAGTGCAACACCAAGCAAGGCTGATGCATAGCCTTGCGTGCCAACAGACATTTTAGTGGAAGATAGATTTTATTAACGTCAGTCACCTTACATAACGAATCAATACTGCTGACTGTAAATAAAATAATCCAGCATAATGGTACCATTTCTCAGGAGTGTGACTGTGTAATAGAGTATGAATGGAGTGGAATTTATTATGTTTACCTTCAAGTTCTCTGCTTGGACCTGATCACAGTCAGTCATTCAACAGAGATGCAGACTTTTCAGGACCTGTCAGCAGTGAGTGCCTATGGACGGGACAGCGGTAATTTACAGGCACAATATAAGCACCTGAATTGGGCTTAAACAATAGGGTAAAAAACATTTAGAAACAATTACCGAGGTCCGGATAGAGAACAATGAAGCTCAAGTGGCTTCAGGACTATTACTACATTCCTGTCCCTCGTTTGAGTCAGGTTATGAGAGCACATGTTGACTGTGGGTGTCATTCCATGTCAGTGATGAACTGCCATCAGCCCTTCATTCAGTGTAATTTGTCTTCACTTACAGTGGATAGAATAACTTGGCATTACACCTCACAAGGATCTCATCATGTGATAGAATTAACATCAATTAGTGTGCCTGCCACTGCTGAATGAGTGTAGTGCTGCTGCTGTGCTATTTTGAGATGGTATTTTATTTGTTGATGTCACCGATGGGCATTTGAAATGTTTTGACTGTTCGAGTACTCGCCTGATTTTTTTCTCTCGAGTACTCAAATAAAATAAAATAGGTGTGTCTTGACCACCATTTGCCTCATGCAGCGCGACACATATCCTTCGCATAGAGTTGATCAGGCTGTTGATTGTGGACTGTGGAATGTTGTCCCACTCTTCAATTGCTGTGTGAAGTTGCTGGATATTGGCGGGAACTGGAACACACTGTTGTACACGTCGATCCTGAGCATTCCAAACATGCTCAATGGGTGACATGTCTGGTGAGTATGCAGGCCATGGAAGAACCTGGACATTTTCAGCTTTCAGGAATTGTGTAGAGATCCTTGTGACATGGGGTCGTGCATTATCATGCTGAAACATGAGGTGATGGTGGCGGATGAATGGCACGACAATGGACCTCAGGATCCTATCACGTCATCTCTGTGCATTCAAATTGCCATCGATAAAATGCAATTTTGTTCGTTGTCTGTAGCTTATGCCTGCCCATACCATAACTCCACTGCCACCTTCCAGACATCAGCAAACCGCTCGCCCACACAACGCCATACAAGTGGTCTGTGGTTGTGAGGACGGTTGGACGTACTGCCAAATTCTCTAAAACGATGTTGTATTTGTATTTGTATTTATTATGGATCCCCATTAGCTGCTGCCAAGGCAGCAGCTGCTCTTCCTGGGGTCCGGCAAAATTAAGGCAGTTATACCATTTTAAAAACCCTACAATACATTCATAACAGATTGGTGTGTGCCCTCAGGCCCCTACTCCACCACCACATATCTACAACACAAAATCCATGTGTGTGTGTATAGTGCGTATGTTATCGTGTGTGTATGCATGTGTCTGTGCCTATGTTTGTGTTGCTTCACAGTCTCCGCTATTCCATAAGGTGTATTTTTATCTGTTTTTTAAATCTGATTCTACTGCTTGCATCAGTTACCTGATGTGGAATAGAGTTCCATGTAGTCATGGCTCTATAGTACTGTGCGCCTCCCATAGTCTGTTCTGGACTTGGGGACTGTGAAGAGACCTCTGGTGGCATGTCTTGTGGGGTATGCATGGGTGTCTGAGCTGTGTGCTAGTCATTTAAACAGACAGCTCGGTGCTTTCAACATGTCAATACCGCTCACAAATACAAGTAGTGATGAAGTCAATCTCTCCTCCACTTTGAGCCAGGAGAGATTGACATGCATATTATTAATGTTTGCTCTCTGTGTACATCCAAGGGCCAACCGTGCTGCCCTGTTCTGAGCCAATTGCAATTTTCCTAAGTCCCTCTTTGTGGCACCTGACCACATGACTGAACAGTAGTCTAGGTGCGACAAAACTAGAGTCTGTAGGACGTGCCTTGTTGATAGTGCTGTTAAGAAGGTAGAGCAGCGCTTTATTATGGACAGACTTCTCCCCATCTTAGCTACTGTTGTATCAATATGTTTTGACCATGACAGTTTACAATCCAGGGTTACTCCAATCAGTTTAGTCACCTCAACTTGCTCAATTTCCACATTATTTATTACTATATTTAGTTGAGGTTTAGGGTTTAGTGAATGATTTGTCCCAAATACAATGCTTTTAGATTTTGAAATATTTAGGACTAACTTATTCCTTGCCACCCATTCTGAAAATAACTGCAGCTCTTTGTTAATGATGATGCTTCCATTAAAGAACACCCTCTGTGTTCTGTTAGACAGGTAACTCTTTATCCACAATACAGCAGGAGATGTAAAGCCATAACACATTAGTTTTTCCAGCAGCAGACTATGATCGATAATGTCAAAAGCCGCACTGAAGTCTAACAAAACAGCTCCCACAATCTTTATATCATCAATTTCTCTCAGCCAATCATCAGTCGTTTGTGTCAGTGCTGTGCTTGTTGAATGTCCTTCCCTTTAAGCGTGCTGAAAGTCTGTTGCCAATTTGTTTACTGTAAAATAGCATTGTATCTGTTCAAACACAATTTTTTCCAAAACTTTACTAAGGGTTGGTAACAGGCTGATTGGTCGGCTATTTGAGCCAGTAAATGGGGCTTTACTATTAGGTAGCGGAATGACTTTTGCTTCCCTCCAGGCATGAGGGCACACACTTTCTAGTAGGCTTAAATTGAAGATATGGCAAATAGGAGTGGCAATATCGACTGCTATTATCCTCAGTAATGTTCCATCCAAGTTGTCACACCCCGGTGGTTTGTCATTGTTGATAGACAACAATACTTTTTTTCACCTCTTCCACACTCACTTTACGGAATTCAAAATTACAAATCTTGTCTTTCATAATTTGGTCAGATATATTTGGATGTGTAGTGTCAGCGTTTTGTTGCTGGCATGTCATGCCGAAGTTTGCTAATCTTGCCAATGAAAAAATAATTAAAGTAGTTGGCAATGTCAGCCGGTTGGAGGCGGCTTATGGTAGAGAAATGAACATTCAGTTTTCTGGCAACAGCTACGGTGGAGATACCTGCAGTCAGCATGCCAATTGTACGCTCCCTCAACTAGCACGCTCAGTAACAGGGATGTAAACAAATGTGTGCACAAAATGTGAGAGAAATAAGCTTTTTGTGCGTATGGAAAATTTCTGGGATCTTTTATTTCAGCTCATGAAACATGGGACCAACACTTTACATGTTGCGTTTATATTTTTGTTCAGTACATGTTTAGGAGGGGGTTATAGCGTAGGCTAACCAATTCTGAATGGCACTAGCAGTTCGCAAAGTAGCTTAAGCTGATTTATTTCAAAACTGCAGCTCGTTGTTGGAACACATTCTCCTACTTCAGTCAACCAGTCTATTTTGAATTTGTAAAATAAATGTCATTTTGCAAGGAATGTAGCTTGTGTGTCCCATCAGTTAGATACGTTTTTATAGGTATTTATTTCTGTAGGCCTAACGGGAGCTTGTGTGCACACTCAGCATGCGTGTGGAGGGAGCGGTCGGAACGCAACTGAGTGAATGAGACACTGAGGGGAAAGGGAATTTAGGGAGAAGAACAGTGTGATGCTTGGCTTGGTTTATTTTTTTGTTGTGCCCCGCAAATGCACATACACATGCACAAATGGAACACTAGAGTTAAAGCAAATTAACGTTGTTTTCAAGACAAAATTTCACTTGCCCGTTCGGGCAGCCACAAAGCACATTCCACCAAATAGTTTTACAATATTAGTTTTTTTTATCTCTGGTTAAAGATCCCTGCTTTGACGTCTGTTCGAGTACTCATGCCCATCCCTAGTCACAGAGTGTCTGACTGTTCTCTCCCTGCCATACAGAGGAGCTGAATCTGGACATGCATCAGTAAAGTGATTTGGGTATTATGCTACCTTGTTACTTTTTATTTCGTATTATTTTATATTGAATATTTTTGTGATTTTTATTTGGGTATTCTTTCTTCAAACTGCATTGTTGGTTAAGGGCTTGTAAGTAAGCATTTCACTGTAAGGTCTACCTACACCTGTTGTAATCGGCGCATGTGACAAATACGATTTGATTTGATCTGTGCAAGATTAGATTAGAGAATAGAGACGGTTACTCATACTGTTGTGATTGTGTATATCAGACAATAGCCATAGGGAAGGCTAGGCTGCATCCCACTTACTGAAGCCACTACGTAGGCTTACAACGTCATCATCTGTCTTTAAATGTAGCCTACAGTTGCACACCTTTGCATTTTGAGTTACGTAGAAGCGTCAAGCTTTTGTTTGCAGCAATACCGGTTTAGGCCTAGCTCTGACTGTTCTCTCTCTTCTTGCATGCCTGGCAATTACTCTCACTCTCTGAAGGTAAGGGAAGGGTTTTTGTGTTGAAATTTGTTGAGCGCTCACTCAGCTCAGCTGTATGGGGCAAAGGCTAAGAGGCATTGGCCTAACTCCAGTGTGTCATTTTGACACACATTTTTTTGCTTTGTCAATTGTGGTGACTGTTAAATAAATCAGAAAGATTGTTCACTACACTAGATAGGAGGTAAAAGAGCAAATTCACAATGACATTGAGAACATACTGTAGCCTCTCAACTGCATTCTGACAAATGGTAAATGTCCTCACCTTTTCTCTCTGTTATTGGACAAAATTAGGATAATGGCTTATTTATTGATTTGTCTTTGGTAATTAGCCTGAAGAGCTCCGGGTCTGTCTATCCGACTGAGGGTTCTCCCTCCCTGTACTATGGACATTCGGCTATCACTATCAACACTAACTATCAGCTGTACTATGGACATTCGGCTATCACTATCAACACTAACTATCAGCTGTACTATGGACATTCGGCTATCACTATCAACACTAACTATCAGCTGTACTATGGACATTCGGCTATCACTATCAACACTAACTATCAGCTGTACTATGGACATTCGGCTATCACTATCAACACTAACTATCAGCTGTACTATGGACATTCGGCTATCACTATCAACACTAACTATCAGCTGTACTATGGACATTCGGCTATCACTATCAACACTAACTATCAGCTGTACTATGGACATTCGGCTATCACTATCAACACTAACTATCAGCTGTGGAAGACCATCGCCTAAAACAAGACCTGCCACTGCCCGAACCCTACATTTTGTTTTGTTTTGTTTTTAAAGTGTCTTTGAGATTCTCTTTGTAATGAAAAGCGCTATATAAAAGACATCTATTATTATTGGAAATTGTATCCAGCCTTTGGTGTGGCTTAGGGCTTTATTTCGTCAGAGACACAATGTTGCTTTCGACTGTAGCTTATTCAAGACTACGAGTGTATTAGTATGACTGTTTCATTCCCCCTCCTTGCATAAAATATAATAAGGACTTGTCAGAAAACATAGCTCTCTTGGAGTGTTAGCACACAAGAGAAACTGTACTAGAATAGAATAGCTAGCTTTGCCGTTTCAGTGCTGCAAGTGTTTGGAAGATGCAAACATCATGTTTGAGTTTGTCCTCTAGGTCAGTTCCATGTTACCCAGTCAGCAACGCCCCGGCCCTGCGGAACTGCCCCACCCACTCAGCAACGCCCCGGCCCTGCGGAACTGCCCCACCCAGTCAGCAACGACCCGGCCCTGCGGAACTGCCCCACCCAGTCAGCAACGCCCCGGCCCTGCGGAACTGCCCCACCCACTCAGCAACGCCCCGGCCCTGCGGAACTGCCCCACCCACTCAGCAACGCCCCGGCCCTGCGGAACTGCCCCACCCAGTCAGCAACGACCCGGCCCTGCGGAACTGCCCCACCCAGTCAGCAACGCCCCGGCCCTGCGGAACTGCCCCACCCACTCAGCAACTCCCCGGCCCTGCGGAACTGCCCCACCCAGTCAGCAACGCCCCGGCCCTGCGGAACTGCCCCACCCAGTCAGCAACGCCCCGGCCCTGCGGAACTGCCCCACCCAGTCAGCAACGCCCCGGCCCTGCGGAACTGCCCCACCCAGTCAGCAACGCCCCGGCCCTGCGGAACTGCCCCACCCAGTCAGCAACGCCCCGGCCCTGCGGAACTGCCCCACCCACTCAGCAACGCCCCGGCCCTGCGGAACTGCCCCACCCAGTCAGCGGTCTTGTTGTGGCACTGTTTTGTTGGCCAAATCGAGTGGAGGTCAACCTCAGTGCACAATTCTGTTATGTCCAATTTCCACCCAATCCATTCCTTAACTCTCACTCAATCATGGTCTTTCCCTGGGCAGAATGACAACAGAATCAAAATCACCAGGCTCAACCAAGCGCCGGACACATCACCGCTAGTGACAGGCTCTGTTACTGAGATGACCGGGAGCCCTGTTTTGGCTGTGCATATCATATAAAACAGGAAGATAACATCTTGGCCTAAAATTGACCAAATCTAGGCCCTATGTTGTGGCAAAAGATCGGTAGAAAGGGATATGACAAGCTTTAAACCTTGACTATAACAAAATGTTGCTTTCAAAAGCTTTTTTGACCTTTCCACATTCCTTGTGTCTTCAACCCCATTGGACATGAGACTATTAAACACTGACCAGCACTGTACTGAAAACAGCTAAACAGCATCCTCTCCAGCTCCTCATGAGTTATTCTGGAGTATTTTGATTTTTAGAAGAGGGAGGATTGACATACTTCCCTGGATTTTACATGGGGCCTGTGAGCAACAAGCGTCAAGTGAAACACTGAGTTGTGCTGCAAAGCTTAACCCTCAGGTAGTTTGTGTCGACTTCATGGTGGACTCCCACACACTGTAGTAGACAGGAGCTGCTCTCCCACAGCAGAGGTTAATGGGGTGCTCAGCCGTTTGTGGCTGGTTGGCTTCCCTCTGTTTTGAGAGAATGCCCTGAAGTAGACGTCTGTTATGAAGTGATTTGAAAGGCTAGTTAAGGACCATACAGTGAGGGAAGAAAGTATTTGATCCCTTGCTGATTTTGTACGTTTGCCCACTGACAAAGACATGATCAGTCTATAATTTTAATGGTAGGTTTATTTGAACAGTGAGAGACAGAATAACAACAACAAAATCCAGAAAAACGCATGTCAAAAAAGTTATAAATTGATTTGCATTTTAATGAGGGAAATAAGTATTTGACCCCTCTGCAAAACATGACTTAGTACTTGGTGGCAAAACCCTTGTTGGCAATCACAGAGGTCAGACATTTCTTGTAGTTGGCCACGGAGGTAGTTGGCCAACTACAAGTAGTTGGCCAAGGAGGTTCTCACCCAATATTTGACGGTACATGGCCCCGTCCATCGTCCCTTTGATACGGTGAAGTTGTCCTGTCCCCTTAGCAGAAAAACACCCCCAAAGCATAATGTTTTCACCTCCATGTTTGATGGTGGGGATGGTGTTCTTGGGGTCATAGGCAGCATTCCTCCTCCTCCAAACACGGCGAGTTGAGTTGATGCCAAAGAGCTCGATTTTGGTCTCATCTGACCACAACACTTTCACCCAGTTCTCCTCTGAATCATTCAGATGTTCATTGGCAAACTTCAGACGGCCCTGTATATGTGCTTTCTTGAGCAGGGGGACCTTGCGGGTGCTGCAGGATTTCAGTCCTTCACGGCGTAGTGTGTTATCAATTGTTTTCTTGGTGACTATGGTCCCAGCTGCCATGAGATCATTGACTAGATCCTCCCGTGTAGTTCTGGGCTGATTCCTCACCATTCTCATGATCATTGCAACTCCACGAGGTGAGATCTTGCATGGAGCCCCAGGCCGAGGGAGATTGACAGTTTTGTGTTTCTTCCATTTGCAAATAATCGCACCAACTGTTGTCACCTTCTCACCAAGCTGCTTGGCGATGGTCTTGTAGCCCATTCCAGCCTTGTGTAGGTCTACAATCTTGTCCCTGACATCCTTGGAGAGCTCTTTGGTCTTGGCCAAAGTGGAGAGTTTGGAATCTGATTGATTGATTGCTTCTGTGGACAGGTGTCTTTTATACAGGTATCAAGCTGAGATTAGAAGCACTCCCTTTAAGAGTGTGCTCCTAATCTCAGCTCGTTACCTGTATAAAAGACACCTGGGAGCCAGAAATCTTTCTGATTGAGAGGGGGTCAAATACTTATTTCCCTCATTAAAATGCAAATCAATTTATAACATTTTTGACATGCGTTTTTCTGGATTTTTTCTGTCTCTCACTGTTCAAATAAACCTACCATTAAAATTATAGACTGATCATTTCTTTGTCAGTGGGCAAACATACAAAATCAGCAGGGGATTAAATACTTTTTTCCCTCACTGTATCTCCTCCATCTTACCTGACACCCTAGATCCACTACAATTTGCATACCGCCCCAACAGATTCACGGATGACGCAATGGCCATTGCACTGCACACTGCCCTATCCCACCTGGACAAGAGAAATACCTATGTTAGAATGCTGTTCATCGACTACAGCTCAGCCTTTCAACACCATAGTACCCTCCAAGCTCATCACTAAGCTCAGGGCCCTGGGTCTGAACCCCTTCCTGTGCAACTGGGTCCTGGACTTCCTGACGGGCCGACCCCAGGTGGTGAAGGTAGGCAACAACACCTCCGCCACGTTGATCCTCAACACGGTGGCCCCACAGGGGTGTGTGCTCAGCCCCCTCCTGTACTTCCTGTTCACCCATGACTGCGTAGCCATGCACATCTCCAACTCAATCATTAAGTTTGCTGACGACACAGCAGTGATAGGCCTGATTACCAACAACGATGAGACAGCCTACAGGAAGGAGGTGAGAGCCCTGGCAGAGTGGTGCCAGCAAAATAACCTCTCCCTCAATGTCAACAAAAGGAAGGAGCTGATTGTGGACTAAAGGACACAGCAGACAGAGCACGCCCCCATCCACATCGACAGGAGAGGGTCAAAAGCTTCAAGTTCCTTTGCGTGAACATCACTGAGGACCTAAAATGGTCCCTTCACACCTACAGTGTGGCGAAGAAGGCACAAGAGCGCCTCTTCAACCTCAGGAGGCTGAAGAAATTCGGCTTGGCCCCTAAGACCCTCACAAACTTCTACAGATTCACGATTGAGAGCATTCTGTCCGGCTGTATCACTGCCTGGTATGGCATTTGCATTGTCTGCAACTGCAGGTCTCCCCAGAGGATGATGCGGTCAGCTGCTAAACTGTACGCAACCAATAACATTTGATTTGAGTTAGCAGGCTATGGGCACATCTGTGAGTGATCACTGTCCGTGATGTGCCTTGATCCTGGTTGATGGACAAGGGAAGCTCACTTTGGTACTAAAAACATGTTTTTACTCAGCATATTTCATACTGTCTGGTACATGGCTTAAACCCTTTTTTTTTTATCAAGACAAATAACACTTTTCCAGGATACATTTTGTTCTCCCTTTCATTCATAGCCAGGCCATTATGGGTTGAATAAGCCCTAGAATTGTTGTACCTCTTAAAAACAATGCTAATCCCCAAAACATTGCTGTGGCCTAGTTTTAATGAATACCCTGATGGTCTGTGTGGTGTTCCAGATTACAGCCTATTCTTTATTATTTTCACCCGAATATATTACAATGCACGGCATTGTTAAAAGGGTTGGATCCCCCAGATAGGACGTGTTGGATGCTGTGTTTTGAATAATATATATTTTTTTCTTCTTCTCATTATTGATCTTGGTTAGTTTACATCAAAGCTACTGAGTGTGCAGGCTTTTGTCCAGCCCTGCTCTAAAGGCTGTAACAAAACCACTGCGTACCCAGTAGCTCTCCAGGAGGCAGTGTAATAATATAATTTATTCAACTTTTAAAGTGATATTCATTACATAAAGAAATCTCAAAGCGCTGTAAATCAACAACAAAAAACAAGCTATTTAAAAACAAGATCATTAATCATCATGTGTAGTTCAAGAGATTGAGAAAGTTCATGGCTTGATTGAGGTCAGTGGAGGGAGGAGGTGGTCAAAGGGGAGACGTGTAGGGTAACATGGTCTATTTTCAGACATGGACATTTCATTATGGGTTGCTAAAGTGGTCTTGAGGAGAGGGGTGGAGTGAAAGTGCTCCTTCAGGGAGAGAGAGGGTCCAGGCTATGTGCACTCAGTTTAACAAGGTTCTAGAGCAGATTTTTACATTAACCTAATAAAAACAGTTCTGTAAGAATGGGGTTTGGGCAGTAGGCCTAATGCATTATCACAGCATATTGGCTATATGCCTGGCCTGCCAATATTGTTCTTCTCAGACCATATTATATTTCAAAACACGAGCTTTGATTACAAAATAGATCAGTTGGTGTAGCACCTGCGAGGCACAGCTGAGCATAAATTGAAATAATTTGCAAATAATTTGCTTTTTTATTTTACTGGACTGATGGTACCTGCATCTGATGGTCATGGTGCTTTCAAGACAACTGGGAACACGGAAAAAAAACTAGGTCAAATAATGACGTCAGTGATCTTCAGGTTGGAAAATCGGAGGTCTAAAAAGATGTCAGAGTTTCCGACTTGGAATTCAGTTGTCTTGAACGCACTGAAGTCGGAAGTCGGAGATTTCCAAGTTCCCAGTTGTTTTGAACACGGCGTTAGTCTCAGCGGAGGTAGGGAGGGAGGGAGAGAGCAGCAGAGGGTACGTCTCTCATGGTCCTTGCTCTGTCCTTCCTTTCCTCCGGTGAGACTGACCAGAGAGAGGGGACACCGTCTTCCACCTGATGGCAAAAGTCGAGTCGCACCCCACCGCATCTGCCTCATGCACAAATTCATGTTGTTCCTATGACCAGAGAAAGTGAAATATTCCTCGACTTTAAAATAAACACGACGAGCTGCTAATAATAATAATAATAACACAGGGCTATCGATACACTTGGCTACTCATTCATTGTAGCTGCAGCGCGAGGGGATGTAGGGAGAAGAGCGTTTTGTAATAGTGTTGAATAAAAACAGTGACAGTGCTGAATAAAATGTTTAACATGAACTCACTCATAAAAACAGCATCTCTTTGCTGTGTTCTTTGGCAGTCTCTCTGTGGTCATGGTTTTAAAAGTGATTCAATCTTACGTAGGCTAGTATCAAACTTTGCGTTGGCGGGGTTTGTGGAAGCGCTGTATGCACAGTGATTTGAGCTATCCGATTGGCCAGCGCAGTAGGCGAACTCGATTTAGCCATAGATAGCGGAGTTTGTCTTTTAGACAAATGAAATGGTTAAAAATGGGAACACTTTGCTTACCCAGTGCGCAGGGCTTTTGAATCAAGTGCACCAACCGTCAACAGCCCAATTCGGATCCGAGTTGGACCACATGTCCCGGATTGTGCAGGACAGTCCCGCATTTGGGCCCTGCCGTCCCGCAACCAAACAATCATGTCCCGCATTTTATCAACACATTCAGACACCACTCATTTAGAAAAAATGGTCAATTTGTCCCGTATTTCAGTCAGACATTCTGACCTGTCCCTTGCAGTCACGTTGCGCTTATGAAAATGCATATATCATAAGGATGTGGTAGCCTAAGCCTACTGGTGAAGCCCAGTTCTCCAGTCGTTCTTGAGATCTGGTATTCTGCGCCGCGCAAGAGGAAAAGTAATGTAATTGGCCTATCATCAACCAATCATATTTCTCAAACCCTTTCAGGCTAAATTCCAGCTAAACTTGGAGAGGACAGTTAGGCCTAACTACTTACGAAAATGTGATTTCCTTATATGAACTGTAATTCTGTAAAATATTATAAATTGTTACATGTTGCGTTTTATATTTCTGTTCAGTATAAATAGCTGTAGACTGAAAGATAAGGTAATTTCATCAAACTTTTGAGGCTCTGCATGCTCATCAGTTGCTCATTCAACAAATTTGCTGCTACTTCACTCAATTCTGTTTTTAAAAGTCTCCCTTCCTAACTGTTTTACATTCCCTGAGACCAACCAGAAAGTTTCTTGGCCAAATATTTGCAGATTTTGTGGTCTCTCGTTTCTGCATCACCAAATTTTGCGCAGGCAAAAGAGTAGGCTAGGTGCGCTTCTATTGCTCATTCGTTGCACGGACTGCAGGAGCTTCGCTCCGCCACTTCAGGTCAAAACTGAATCAATGTCTTGTAAGAGCACATAATGATTAATTAGTATTTGACATAACATATCGAAATGTATAGTATGAAAAATGTATGCACTCACTAATTGTAAGTCGCTCTGGATAAGAGCGTCTGCTAAATGACTAAAATGTAAATGTAAATGTATAGTAGGGCTGACTCCATTTAGTCGACTGGTCGATTGTTTGGTTGGTAGGCTGTTGGTCGACCAATTTTTTTTTAGTTGAGCACTATATTTAAAAAAGATCTCATGGTATAGCTGTCTGATTCGTGCCTGTCTGAGTGGACTAATCCATTGTGGAGGCCGTGGGGATGGCACAGTCCATCACTCAAAGACGTGCTACTGAAATTGTATATGGTTATAGTACAATTTCGGCAATTGCATTCACAAATGAATGTGACCATTTTTTGTCTTTGCTGTAATAAAGGCTTAGCAAAAAATTTTTACAACAGACTCTCTGGTACGCTTATAATGCATTTAGTGTTGTTTACATCGTTCCAAACGGTCAGAGAAATTATATTGTAATCTATACAGCACCTGTTTGGCACACATAATATGCACGCAGCGCTTGCTCCATACCTTATTTTTCTTGATCTCCAGTATTTTCCACAACTAGTCAAATGTTTTTATTCATGTAGGCTACACTGTCCCGCAAAATCATCCTGTTGTCCCGCATTTGGGTATTTTAAATGTGGTCACCCTAGATCCGACCCCAAAACATGTCAGAGCTGAGAGTGAATCGGCTCCAAATTGGGTCGGGCCTGTATCCGACCCAAATGGATCCGAAAGATTTAAAAAATGCAGCTTTATTGCCGCGCAATCCAGCGGAATTGTTTTGACTAGTCTGGCAGTGAACTTTAACATGCGTTTTCGGTTGTATCTAAAATATGCTAATTGATTTGTGGTCTACAGCTTAGTATTTTTATAATGACATCCCTATAGTTAGATATTGAATATTTGAGTTGGATAATTTTTTTATTATCATCGCGAGCCAGACTGAGCGCAGCGAATAGTTGTAACCTAATATTTTGTTTACTGAGCAACATTACAATCTAGCATATTTAACTGTTTTCATCAACACTGATTTAGACTAAAGGTAGGCTGTAGCCTGTTTGACCAGCAAGCTTCAAAATCAATTCAGAAAGTATTCACACCCATTGATTGTCTTTACCACATTTTGTTTTTACAGCCTGAATTTAAAATGGATTAAATTGAGATTTTGTGCCACTGATCTACTACACACAATACCCCATAATGTCAAAGTTGAATTATGTTTTTAGAAATGTTTACAAATTCATTCAAATGAAAAGCTGAAGTGTCTTGAGTCAAGAAGAGTGAAGAAATGAAAGTTCACAGAAGTAAGAAAAGTTAGACCTACCAATTAGTTAGTGTTTTTAGTGATATCAAGTTTGTTTATGAATTATTTGGTGATTAAAACTCGAATTCTGTTGACAAATTGGTAACGAAATTACCGAAAAATCAGTAATGGAATTATTGCAATTGAATTGGCTACAATCGGAAATCCATAGTAGTCACAAACCACAGTTGGGTCACCTGCTACTGTCCTCTCTTCCACTGGCATACTGTTATGTTCAGCTCATAACTGTTTTCTCTCTTTCTGTCTTCTTGTGGTAAAAGCAAGACTGTGAAAACAGTCTTCTCTCGCTCTTCTCGCTCTCTCCAGTTAATGTCACCTCTTCCGGCTCTTACTGACACCTACCATGACACATACCACCTACCCTCTTTCTATTTACTCTAACAAGCATCCTTTCCCACTGAACCAATCATAGATGTTTGTTTCACAAGTTTGGACAGCACAATACAGTACAGTAGAGCACACAAGAGTAAAGTACAGTATAATGTACTGTACTATACATATTTACTGTACTATGCTGTACTGTGATGTCCAAACTTCTGACACATAGACGGCTATGATTGGTGTGGGAAATTATTCTCTTATATTTTAGATGTGCTGTTAGCTTAATAAGAAAGCATTAATGATTAAACATAATAGGTTTGTGCTGTACTGATATAGACTGTTTAACATAACAAGCTGTGATTCATGTGAGGAGCTGTTAGGGGGTAGGGAGAGATAAGACTTGTGATTCACTTACACAAACACTACCTCTTTGTTGAACTGCCCAAGGACATATGTACAAAGTGTACAGTTAGAGTGGGAAAGTACAGGAAAACTGTGTCTATGGGTGCTGACTCTCTGGACAAGTTGCAAAACAACTGATGCCTGGCAACAGTGAAGCGCCAAGGGCATGGGACCAGCCTGTGCGCCAACGATAGGCTGAGTAAGTCTAAACCACGCTCAGTCTCTACTCTGATAGGCCAGCAGGGAGCAGGAACTATCTCTGTCAGAGTATTTAAAGAAGAACTTATAACAATGGACCAGTTCTCTGTCTGCCCTGCGTGGTATTTCAGTGGACCCGTATATACGAACATCATATTTACCATTGAAGTGTTTTGCATTAATTAAAATACTAGTCTATTTTAGAAGACGTGTATTGACCTCCTTTTTGTTCCAATACCAGATTTGAATTGACGCAACTTAACATTGTTTTAGATTTGGTCTGGTCCGGACCAACCAAATGTGGTCTTGTTTAGGGGTGGAGGTCATTAGAATAATAGCCAGTGTGTAGAATAATACACAAATATGCAAAAGAAGGATACTGCATTTTTCTACCTTTGTGTACCTATTCAGGATACATCACCATGAAGATAATGACATTCATATCCATAATTATGCATTTCTGTATAGTACAGATCAGGGACCCATAATATAATTCCGTTAGCGGCTGTAAATCCACTTCACCTACTACTGTAGTTCATTAACCAAAATATATATTTTTTTAACTCAAGGTGTCATGTCATAGCTGACACCCCATTCTTTCTGTAGACATATTTGAATCATAATTCAGAGCAGATATGTATACGTTTTTGGAAAACGTGGTCGCATAAAAAAAACTGAGGGAGATTTTACTTATATTCTGTTACCAAACTTTGCATCTGCACAGTTCTTCCAGTAAATGTGTTAAAATTGTATGGTTTGTTAAACTTTGAAATCAATGGTTTTTGTTTGGCATACATTTTAAAGTGAAAAATCTGTCAGTTTCCGTGGAATTGCCCTACATCTGATGACTGATAACAGGCATGCTCCTTTACTGGCAGGCTAATTCAAATCTTGCTGGACTTGGGTTGATGCTCTACTCTATGCTGGTATCTCAGCCCTCTCCTTAATAAAGGCATGCTGTTGGAAGTTGCTGTATACCAAAGGCTGCACTAGGCCTATTAGGCTACTAATCAAGCCCCTGACATCATCTTGAACCAGTGTTTCACTTGTCTCAGTAGCATTACAATATGTTACCCAGACAGTGGACTGTGAGTCAGTCCAGGACTTTAGTCAGACCTCTTGTGCATTGGCATTTAGCTCTGTTACCACCAGCCAAAACCCAAGCAACACCAGCCTTTGTGTTGGAGTCTGAAATGTCAGGTTTTAGTTTTAAGGAGTGTGCAATTAAGGTCATAATTGTCAGTCATGGTGAGTGTGGTAGATTGGAACACTAACTGGTCGGTTTGTTGCCACATACTGGTAATCATCTTTTCAGAATATGTTACAGCTAGCCTACTCCTCACCACCGTTTCACTGTGTGGTTTTGCTCTGGCAAATGTCTCAGCAGTTAATTTTAAGCTGTAGTGGAGGGTAAGGTCAATGAAGCCAGATGGAGAGCTATGGTGGGACTCTGGCCAAGACACAGACTGTTACTACAGCCTGGGATTCAATTATATCTACAGCATGAACCTCACAATTACATCTCACTGCCAATATCACTGCAAAAAGCTGACCTTGGTCCGACTATCATCTCATTTCAACCTCCGTGTCTCACATAGCCTCCTAAACCACACAAACATATGTAAAAAAAAATATATATATATATATATATATGTGAACGCAGCAATCAGTGTGTTTTATGTCACACACACACAACGGTTTCCTGAACTAACCTCTCTCTCTCATTCCTTTTGTATGAAGGTTCACCAAGAACCTGTCCCCAGACAAGATCAACCTGAGCACGCTGAAGGGCGAGGGCCAGCTGTCCAACCTGGAGCTGGATGAAGAGGTGCTGCAGAACATGCTGGACCTGCCCACCTGGTTGGCGGTCACCCGGGTCTACTGCAACAAGGCTGCAATCAGGGTGAGACAACCGTGTTCTTCTGATAATAAACCATGTCAAATCCATATCAGTCTTTCCCTAGGGCTGTGGCAGTCATGTCATTTTGTCAGTTGGTTATTGTCATGCAAAATACTGCCGGTCTCACGGTAATTTACAGTTAATTAACATAAACACGTTTAGCATCTCCAGGCCTCCACACATACAGCATTGCCTAGGGCTATACGTTCCCTCCCAGACTCATGGATATACATTTTGGAGCATAGCATAAGGTAACCAGTCCATCCAGTATGCATAATAATATATCCACACTCAAAGGCGATTACTCGAATTTGTTAAATTTTTTTGTATAGGCTAGACCAGTTATGTACCAAAGACATCTTAAATCAGTTTTGTTGTATGTTTTTCTGCCATGTGTAATATGCGGTAGACTATGTATTGTATAAGGGGGGTAGGGGATGGTTGGGCTCATAAGCCTATGCATACAGTGCATTCTGAAAGTTTTCATACCCCTTGACTTTCTCCACATTTTGTTAATTTACAGCCTTACTCTAAAAGGGAATCATTTTTTTTCTTCTTATCAATCTACACACAATACCCCATAATGACACAGCAAAAACAGGTTTTTAGAAATGTTTGCTTAACTTAAAAATAAATAAATATAAAAGTTACATAAGTATTCAGACCCTTTACTCAGTACTTGGTTGAAGCACCTTTGGCAGCGATTAAAGCCTCGAGTCTTCTTGGGTATGACGCTACAAGCTTGGCACACCTGTATTTGGGGAGTTTCTCCCAATCTTCTCTGCAGATCCTCTCAAGCTCTATCAGGTTGGATGGGGAGTGTTGCTGCACAGCTATTTTCAGGTCTCTCCAGAGATGTTCGATCGGGTTAAAGTCCGGGCTCTGGCAGGGCTACTCAAGGACATTGCTGCCACTACCATGCTTCACCATAGGGATGGTGCCAGGTTTCCTCCAGACATGACGCTTGGCATTCAGGCCAAAGAGTTCAATCTTGGTTTCATCAGACCAGAGAATCTTGTTTCTTATGGTCTGAGAGTCCTTTAGGTGCCTTTTGGCAAACTCCAAGGGGGCTGTTGTGCCTTTTCCTGAGGAATGGCTTCTGTCTGGCCACTCTACCATAAATGCCTGATTGGTGGAGTGCTGCAGAGATGGTTGTTCTTCTGGAAGGTTCTCTCATCTCCACAGAGGAACTCTGGTGCTCTGTCAGAGTGACCAATCAGGTTCTTGGTCACCTCCCTGACCAAGGTCCTTCTCCCCCAATTGCTCAGATTGGCGGGGCAGCCAGCTCTAGGAAGAGTCTTGGTGGTTCCAAACTTCTTCCATTTAAGAATGATGGAGGACACTTTGTTCTTGGGGACCTTCAGTGCTGCAGGGATGTTTTGGTACCCTTCCCCAGATCTGTGCCTCGACACAATCCTGTCTCGGAGCTCTACGGACAATTCCTTCGACCTCATGGCTTGGTTTTTGCTCTGACATTCACTGTCAACTGTGGGACCTTATATAGACAGGTGTGTGCCTTTCCAAATCATGTGCAATCCATTGAATTTACCACAGGTCGACTCCAGTCAAGTTGCAGAAACATCTCAAGGATGATCAATGGAAACAGGATGCACCTGAGCTCAATTTCGAGTCTCATAGCAAAGGGTCTGAATACTTATGTAAATAAGGTATTTCAGTTTGATTTATTTTATAAAAAAACCTGTTTTTGCTTTGTCATTATGGGGTATTGTGTGTAGATTGATGAGGAAATGTTTTTATTTAATCAATTTTAGAATAATGCTGTAACGTAACAAAATGTGGAAAAAGTGAAGGGGTCTGAATACTTTCCGAAGTCACTGTGTGCTCTAATATGTGTATGGGTGTTTGAATTAATCATCACCTTAGAAAGCGCTGTCCATTTCGTTGTGTTAGGCTTTGAATCAACATCCACAACAACCATGTTTTACACTCAGTTTCAACCTGCTGTTGAACTTCTTTCATTTCATCTAATTGATCATCACAGTGAGGTGAGTTTTAAAAGCACACACTGTTTTGATGACAAGTGTTTGATGTGGTTTTCGTTGGCATTTGCATTGATGTCAGTGTGGTTAGGGGGACAATAGAGCCCTGAGTACCAGGCCATTAGGACCTGATGGTCGTTAGCAAGTTGAGTACTACCAACGCATGTCCAGAGTGCATAAGAGGAGATTACAGTGACTCAACGGTCACGTGGAATTTTATTGCGGTCATGACTCATGACTGCCGGTGTGGCGGTAATACGATCACCGCAACAGCCCTATCTTTCCCCAATGGAAATTGCTGCATACAGATAAGAAAGGGTTTTCCAGAATTATATCACTGCATTAATTTTGTAGTTAAAGCTTGAATCCTTAATGGTGAAACAGCCACGTCCGTTTGCCACGTCCGTTACCGCAAACAACGAAAACAGTGTTTTCCCCCCTCAGATATCATTGCACGCGTTATAGAAGAGCACAATATGTACTGCAATTTTTTTCCCCATGCTGCTGACACAAAAACAATAAGAGCGATGGTGGGGCGGCCAGTGGCACTGTTTCCCCCTACTGCGGATTCCATCTTTAATGTCAGTATATGCTGACCAAAGGAAGATTAACATGAAAGCAGTAAAGCACTGCCAAGCAAAACATATGGTGAGTGGTTTGACAAGACCATGTTATTGTGGTTTCACTGTGTAGCCTTTAGCTCCATCAATGAAAGCCACAGAGGGCATAAGCTACACACGCTCCCTGCCAGCAGTCCAGAGATAAGCAGTACTGCTGTCTGATAACACTGAGATCAGTGCACACATCTCTAGACCCACTGCTATCTCCAGATAACAGAGAGAGAAACAGTGTGGAAGAACACAAAAGGTCAGAGGCTAGCAACAGCACCGGACAAGGCCTGAATGGAGCAACCTGTTTAGGGAGATGTGGACTAGATCAGAGGAGATGAGCTCTGCGTGGGTTGCCTCTTGAGGGCCCTGGTGTCCCTTTTATCTCCAATATTACTAGTTTGAAGCCAGTCTAGGTCAGATATTAGTCTACAAGGAGAGGTCTAAAAGCACAAGCCTCATTGTTTCTTGGTGTAGGCTATCTTGTGCACAGTGAATGATAAACATTACAGTAGAACAGTGCTGAGGAAAGTGTTTGTGCATGACTGGTCCCCTGCTGTTTTGTCTCCCTTAGATACAATGGACAAAGTTGAAGACCAGCCCTATCTGCCTGGTATGAATTCTGCTCTTTGTTCTATTCCTCCATGAGTTTGTTGACTTTTCTCTTTTTCTTTCTCTCGCTCTCCTTCTGTCTCTCGCCCTTTCTTTCTCTTGTAACAGATTGTATGGTTTCATGTTGTTATACTGCTATCAGGGTGTGGCCTCAGGCTATAGCCTACAATGTTGACCCATGGTATCCTTGCAGTTCCTGGACAAGGTAGAGGTGGAGATGAGAACGTGTGAGGAGCCCCGCGCCCCAAATGGTCCCTCCCCTATTGCCATCACTGCTGGCCAGAGGTACGCCTTATCTGTTCTGTCTGTTTGGAACCTTTTGAGGGATTTCACTGTTCATGCTCTTTACTAGTGAAAGGATAGATACATAGTTATATGCAATTGTTCATATGTTGTTAGTAATAATGTGATGTAAAGTCTAGATTCTCATCTTTTTGCAGTGAGTATGGCTTTGCTGAGAAGGTGGTGGAGGGTATGTCAGTCATCATCAACTCCATCACCATCAAAGTGCAGTCCCGTGCCTTCCATGCTTCCTTCGAGCTCTGGCAGCTCCAGGGTAACAGTCTCAACCCCAAATGGCAGAAAACTGACCTCCGCTACACCCGCATCACAGACCCCAAGAGAGGAGAGGTACACTCACATAATTAACTTACCACGATTATATTGTATTTATACCACCTGTGTTCACCTTCCTTCCTGTCAAGCCACAGTATATATTGTACAGCATGTCCAGGTTACATGGTACAGTTAGTACAGCATGTCCAGGTTACATGGTACAGTTAGTACAGCATGTCCAGGTGGACATGAGACAGTTAGGTACAGCATGTCCAGGTTACATGATACAGTGAGTACAGCATGTCCAGTTACATTGGTCCAGTTAGTACACGCATGTCCAGGTGGTTACTGGTGTACAGTTAAGTTCGTACAGCATGTTCCAGGTTACATGGTTACATGTTAGTCAAGCATGTCCAGGTTACATGGTAAAGTTAGTAACAGCATGTCCAGGTTCATGGTACAGTTAGTACAGCATGTCCAGGTACTTACATGTTAGGTTACATGATACAGTTAGTACAGCATGTCCAGGTTACATGGTACAGTTAGTACAGCATGTCCAGGTTACATGGTACAGTTAGTACAGCATGTCCAGGTTACATGGTACAGTTAGTACAGCATGTCCAGGTTACATGGTACAGTTAGTACAGCATGTCCAGGTTACATGGTACAGTTAGTACAGCATGTCCAGGTTACATGGTACAGTTAGTACAGCATGTCCAGGTTACATGATACAGTTAGTACAGCATGTCCAGGTTACATGGTACAGTTAGTACAGCATGTCCAGGTTACATGGTACAGTTAGTACAGCATGTCCAGGTTACATGGTACAGTTAGTACAGCATGTCCAGGTTACATGGTACAGTTAGTACAGCATGTCCAGGTTACATGGTACAGTTAGTACAGCATGTCCAGGTTACATGTACAGTTAGTACAGCATGTCCAGGTTACATGGTACAGTTAGTACAGCATGTCCAGGTTACATGGTACAGTTAGTACAGCATGTCCAGGTTACATGGTACAGTTAGTACAGCATGTCCAGGTTACATGGTACAGTTAGTACAGCATGTCCAGGTTACATGGTACAGTTAGTACAGCATGTCCAGGTTACATGGTACAGTTAGTACAGCATGTCCAGGTTACATGGTACAGTTAGTACAGCATGTCCAGGTTACATGATACAGTTAGTACAGCATGTCCAGGTTACATGATACAGTTAGTACAGCATGTCCAGGTTACATGGTACAGTTAGTACAGCATGTCCAGGTTACATGGTACAGTTAGTACAGCATGTCCAGGTTACATGGTACAGTTAGTACAGCATGTCCAGGTTACATGGTACAGTTAGTACAGCATGTCCAGGTTACATGGTACAGTTAGTACAGCATGTCCAGGTTACATGGTACAGTTAGTACAGCATGTCCAGGTTACATGATACAGTTAGTACAGCATGTCCAGGTTACATGATACAGTTAGTACAGCATGTCCAGGTTACATGATACAGTTAGTACAGCATGTCCAGGTTACATGGTACAGTTAGTACAGCATGTCCAGGTTACATGGTACAGTTAGTACAGCATGTCCAGGTTACATGGTACAGTTAGTACAGCATGTCCAGGTTACATGGTACAGTTAGTACAGCATGTCCAGGTTACATGGTACAGTTAGTACAGCATGTCCAGGTTACATGATACAGTTAGTACAGCATGTCCAGGTTACATGATACAGTTAGTACAGCATGTCCAGGTTACATGGTACAGTTAGTACAGCATGTCCAGGTTACATGGTACAGTTAGTACAGCATGTCCAGGTTACATGATACAGTTAGTACAGCATGTCCAGGTTACATGATACAGTTAGTACAGCATGTCCAGGTTACATGATACAGTTAGTACAGCATGTCCAGGTTACATGATACAGTTAGTACAGCATGTCCAGGTTACATGATACAGTTAGTACAGCATGTCCAGGTTACATGGTACAGTTAGTACAGCATGTCCAGGTTACATGGTACAGTTAGTACAGCATGTCCAGGTTACATGGTACAGTTAGTACAGCATGTCCAGGTTACATGGTACAGTTAGTACAGCATGTCCAGGTTACATGGTACAGTTAGTACAGCATGTCCAGGTTACATGGTACAGTTAGTACAGCATGTCCAGGTTACATGGTACAGTTAGTCTAGGCTACAGAGTCACTGTATCTATTTTTCAGGCCAGCAGTAAATCACTTAATTAGGCCTATTGTTTAGTGTTTTATTTAATCAAGATTTTCTGCCCCTCTAAATGAGATCCAGTAATCAAGTTATCAGGAAATGCATATGCGTAAACCTCAGTGATTACCTCTTTTACATGGTCTCCCTGTTTGTCTCGTAAAGACAAAGATTGTTAGGCCAGTGTACTTCTGGCTCCACCTATACACTGGTTCCTTAATATGTATATTGTGTCTGTGTCTGTCTGTCTCTGTGTGTTTTGTCCAACCTTCCAGGTGTTGACGTTTAAGGAGATCAACTGGCAGAGTCTGCGTATCGAGGCCGATGCCATAGAGAGTGAGGACCAGGACCTGAACAGTACCCCACTACGCCTCATCACCAACCAAGGACGCATCCGCATCGCCCTGAAGCGCAGGGTAAGACTGGACCATGGGGGTGGGCTTTACTTGATGTGACTTTTCCCCAACAGTTTACCCATGTTACACTTTCTCAAATGCAACTGTTCTCATGGTGTATCAGAGGTAAATAAACAAACAACCATTGTGTCATTGTAAAATGATGACTAACCAGTAAAATGGTTGTCTTATGACGACTAACCAGGTTTCTCCTGTCTTTAATCATACCCCAGTTGAAGGACTGTAACGTGCTGGCCTCTAAGCTGTTCTTCATCCTGGACGACCTGCTGTGGGTGCTGACGGACTCTCAGCTCAAAGCTGTCATCCACTACGCCAAGTCCCTGAGTGAGGCCATGGAGAAGTCTGCCCAACAGAGGAAGAGCATGGCCGCAAAGTCCCTACAGGTACCATCCTCCCACCTTTCTCTTATATTTGTTAGAACCAGTACAGAGTCTGCAGCCCACACTTATTTTGCCCTGCAGTTCTTTGTCAAATCTAACTATATTACTGAACTGCTGCCTATCTACTCACTTAAACATTTTGTCTAGATATTATAATAGTCTGTGTAATAATTGCAGTCATATTGCTGATATTATTCTCTCTGTGTTAGACTGCACCCCCGTCCCCTGGTATCCACGCTCTATGGACAGACCCTCCACCCTCTCCCAGTGGTGGTTTCCCCAGTACCCTGGACCAGTACTTTGATCAACACGACGTCAAAGAGTCCTCCTACCACACCTTCATCTCTCGTCTGGACCTGCACATATGCAACGACAGTTCCTCAGCAGACCCCGGTTAGTCCCACAGACACCCCAAAGATATGCCATGCACAGAATTAGATTATAACCTATGAACCTCAAACTCAACTCTGTACCTTGAAGCCAGTTCCACTGCGTTTTATAATTGTTGCCCTCTAATCAGGGACTCGTTTAGAACTGGGACACCAGGTGTGTGCAATTAATTATCAGGTAGAACAGAAAACCACCAGGCTCCAGACCTCGTAGGGTAAGAGTTGAATAACCCTGACCTTTGTAGCTTTTCTGCCTAAAGTGATCTTATCTCTACTTTCTGGTTGTCTTTAATTTAGACAATTAGTGGGTGAAAACATGCTTTGGTGATGAAATTTCACTTCCTATTGTTATAAAACACATTTTACCAAGACAAATATGATTCTTCATGTTCTGAATTGTTCAGTGGTGTCTTTTCTAACACATCATTAGCATTATATCCAAAAAGTTGGATTTCGTAACCTAATACATCCAATAATAAGCACCTCTGACAGAGCGGTGAAGCGCAGCGACTTTTGAGGATTTTACATGGTGGTGTGGTGGTCTTCTGCAAAGTTGTTTCCACGGGTTGCAAAAAGCTAAATGAATATGACACGAGCTGAATTAAATGTAAAAGGCTTTGAAAATAAACAGCTTGCGGTACGTTCAGTGCTCCGTTGAAATTTCAGAGATACGCTTGTTTTTCAGATAAATCTTTATATGGAAAGCGTATACTAAAATATGAAAATACTACATTTCATGTCTCAAAATCGATATCGGTCTTACCTCTATATTGTTTTATGTCCTCCGGATTGGATAAAATGACGAGTTCAACGGTGAGCCTGTCAGTTTGCCTTAATTTTCTCACAGCATCCAGCCTAGCTGACGCAATGCTGTTTTCTAGATTGTTGACCACTTTTTTTCTCTGGCCATCCTGCAAGGGTAAAAAACTCCAATAACTTTTGAACAGATTATGATAGAGCAGGGGTTCCCAAACTTTTTTGGGCCACGACCCCGTTTTGAAATCTGAAAATTCTCGCGACCCCAACCATGTGAAAAAAATAATGTCATTAACAGCCAATGTTTACTTTTTTATTTGGTGCTATGGCAGTCAATTGAAAAGCATTCTAACAGTATTTCTGATTGTCTTCTCAACTCATCATCACATACTTTTAATGTGGGGCTATGACAGTCAATTGCAAATTAGTCTGACATAACATCTCTTATCTCACCATCACTAATGAGATGGCTGTGCTTGATGCATATCGTGTCGGAGCTTCTCAAAGTCAGGGGGAGTGGTCGACAGTGCTCACCTCATCTCTGCTGTCACATCCAACCTGGATCGATATTTGGTTTTAATGCAGACGAGAGCGCTGAATCCAGCTTCACACAGATATGAGCTGGCAAAGGGTAGCCTGCCATGAGTTTTATGGTGTTTCAAGACAATTGGGAACTCTTTAAAAAAAATACGAGATCAAATCATGACGTCAGTGCTCTTTAGGTCGGAAAGTCGGAGCTCTAGAAAGAGGCCCGAGTTCCCGAGTTGGAATTCCGAGTTGGATGGCTATTGAAAACTATTTTTCCCAGTTGGAGCTCGTTTCTTTCAGAGTGTCTTGAATGCACTGAAGTCGGAAGTCGGAGATTTCAGAGTTCCAAGTTCCCAGTTGTTTTGAATGCGGCATTAATGCGCAGAGGGAGACTGCACGGTATTCCCTTTGAGTCAGGAACCAAAACTCCTAGGTAGTGACCCGTGAATGCGTTGTCTGCAGCATTCGGTCACATGACAGCTCGACCAGCTGTTCGATTTCACTAACCGGCATGTCGATTGACCCAGGATCACAGTCAAACGGATTGGGAAGTAGGTCCCAAAGTGCTCTTCCAAGCGTTAGAGGTGAGCAGTCATCACTCGTGTGGGCACTTACTGATGCTGTTTTTTTGTCATTTTCTTTTCATTACACAGAAAGTCAGCCAAGTCTTTTTTTTTTTTTTTTTTTTTTTTTTTTTACATCCATTGGGAATGACAACAGTTCCTCTCTCAATGTGAAAAATCTTTCCAACACTCCCCCTGGATAACCACTAAGCCTAGGTGTGAAATAGGAGACAAATTAATAACTAGAGCGCAGAGGCCTGCCCACCGTCCCACCATAGATGGAGCCCCATCTGTGCAAAAGCCTACCATTCGATCCCATATGGAATCTGTTTTTCGTCAATATAGCCACGCAGCACACTGAACTGTGGAATATGTGGTTTCATGCTCGGGAATCGTAAAACAGAACATATGTCCTCGTGAATAGCTTCCCCCAACATGTATAGCGAACAAAAGTCAATGCATCTCGGCCCTCACAGCTAACGTCCATTTAGAGAGCATAAGCTGGGGAGTTTGAGTCGTTCAGTCAGAGCATAAATTATTTGTCTGACAAAGGTATTGATGTGAGTTTCTGTGCCTCTAACTCCCCACACATTGTTTTCACCATATCAGTTGCGTACGGTAATATCAAAGTCTTTGTAATAATGTGTAGTTTCATAGCGTAGCGGACATAGCCATTCACCGTGGGAAGGATTCAAGTGCAACGGTCAAGTGCGGCCTTTTCCCATGATCTAAGGGCACTCTCGTTTTGAATTTTATCTTTTAGATTTGAATACTTTTCATTTAGATTTTTAAGGTTAACCACATTACAATGATTTTGAGATAGAAAGACGATATTATAATATATATATATTTTTGTATATATTATTTTATTCTTCAGGATTTTGGAAATTCTACCAAGATCACTTTTTTTCTTTTTTCTTAGAGGAGTATCTACACAATTAACATATTATTTTACCCATTGGTCAAAAGATGCGTTTTGATTGGACACCCTCCAATTAGGCTCTTGATGGTGAAACTTAGTTGTCAGAGGTGAACAAAGCTTTTGACCTCTGACCTCTCATGTCACACAGATGAGCCTCCTCCTCCAGGCTCCCAGGGTGCAATGCAGCTGACCTTCCGCAAGCTGGGTTTTGACTACTACCCCATCCACAGGCCTGGTGAGTGTACTTCCCCCTTTCGGTCAAGAGACTTGTGCTCCTATTTGTTATAATTAGAGCTCACGTTTATTCACTGCTGTCCACAACGTCCTTTGTTAGTGCTCACACTGAAATCTCAACCTCCATTCAGACTTCTAGTAAGCCTATTCTCCATTCATTCATGCAAGCTAATAGCCTTTTTGTACATAGTCCCCCCATTTTGGGGGACCAAAAGTATTGGGACAAATTCACTTATGTGTATTAAAGTAGTCAAAAGTTTAGTATTTGGTATAGCAGGCAATGACTACATCAATCTTGTGACTACAAATTTGTTGGATGCATTTGCTGTTTGTTTTGGTTGTGTTTCAGATTATTTTATGCCCAATAGAAATGAATGGTAAATAATGTATTGTGTCATTTTGGAGTCACTTTTATTGTAAATAAGAATATAATATGTTTCTGAACACTTCTACATGAATGTGGATGCTACCATTATTATGGACAATCCTGAATGAATCGTGAATAATGATGAGTGAGAAAGTTACAGATGCACAAATATCATACACCTCCAAAAAAATGCTAACTTCCCCTGTTATTGTAATGGTGAGAGGTTAGCATGTCTTGGGGGTATGATATTTTGCATCTGTAACTTTCTCACTCATTATTCACGATTATTTCAGGTTTATCCGTAATCATGGTAACATGATTCCTAGTATATGAAACCTCAACCTCCATTCAGACTTCTAGTAAGCCTCCTCTCCATTCATTCATGCAAACTAAAAATACTTGAAGTTGATGTGTATAACTGGCATGTTATATATTTTTACTAGGATGAGAGATGGAATCTTTTCAACAATAACCCTGGTGATGCACTGGATCCTGTTGTATAACCCTAATGTATGACTTTGAATGATATGACCTGCAGGTGATGGCTGTCGGCATTGGGAGCGTCACTGTGGGGCGATGGAGGCCCGGGCCCAGTGGGCTGGCATACTACTGCAGGAGTTCCAGAGGAGGGTGGAAGTGTCAGGGATCCCTGGGCCACACTCTGAGGTCCCCAACCAGGCCAAGGACTTCCCCGCCAAGAGGGCCCAGGGTGAGACTTACTACAACACACTGCCAGGTTATCTTACTGTAGTAGGAATCTGATCCACCAACAGACATACACTATATATACAAAAGTATGTGGACCCCCCTTCAAATTAGTGGATTCAGCTATTTCAGCAAAAACCTTTGCTGACAGATGTATAAAATCGAGCACACAGCCATGCAATCGCCACAGACAAACATTGGCAGTAGAATGGCCTTACTGAAGACCTCAGTGACTTTCAACGTGGCACCGTCATAGGATTCCACCTTTCCAACAAGTCAGTTCGTTGAATTTCTGCTCTGCTAGAGCTGCCCCGGTCAATGTGAAGTGGAAACGTCTAGGAGCAACAACGGCTCAGCCACGAAATGGTAGGCCACGCAAGCTCACAGAACGGGACCGCCGAGTGCTGAAGAATGTATTGTGTAAAATCGTCTGTCCTCGGGTGCAACACTCACTACCGAGTTCCAAACTGCCTCTGGAAGCAACGTCAGCACAAGAACTGTTAGTCGGGAGCTTAATGAAATGGGTTTCCATGGCCGAGCATCTGCACACAAGCCTAAGATCACCATGCGCAATGCCAAGCGTCGGCTGGAGTGGTGTAAAGCTCGCCGCCATTGGACTCTAGAACAGTGGAAATGCGTTCTCTGGAGTAATGAATCGCACTTCACCATCTGGCAGTCCAACGGACAAATCTGGGTTTGGCGGATGCCAGGAGAATGCTACCTGCCTGAATGCAGAGTGCCAACTGTAAAGTTTGGTGGAGAAGGAATAATGGTCTGGGGCTGTTTTTCATGGTTCGGGCTAGGCCCCCTATTTCCAGTGAAGGGAAATCTTAACACTACAGCATACAATGGCATTTTCGACAATTCTGTGCTTCCAACTTTGTGGCAACAGTTTGGGGAAGGCCCTTTACTATTTCAGCATGACAAGTCCATACAGAAATGGTTTGTCGAGATCGGTGTGGAAGAACTTGACTGGCCTGCACAGAGCCCTGACCTCAACTCCATCGAACACCTTTGGGATGAATTGGAACGCTGACTGCGAGCCTAGCCTAATCGCCCAACATCAGTGCCCAACCTCACTAATGCTCTTGTGGCTGAATGGAAGAAAGTCCCCACAGCAATGTACCAACATCTAGTGGAAAGCCTTCCCAGAAGAGGGGAGGCTGTTATAGCAGCAAAGGGGGGGGGACCAACTCCATATGAATGCCCATGATTTTGGAATGAGATGTTCGACAAGCAGGTGTCCACATAATTTTGGTCATGTAGTGTACCTAGTGATGAGAATATATGGTTAGTTACAAGTCACAGACACTGATGCTAAAAGTTTGACTTATGATATACACAGATGGACAGCCCACCCCCACGGCTAGCCCGCCTGAAAGGGAGCAAATCTCCAAGAGGAACTCAATAGCACCTCCTCACCCGGGGAACCCTTTTAAGAGGCTCCGCTCCAGCTGTGTGGTGGTACGAATGGATGACCTGGATATCCATCAGGTGAGACAGGACTACCTATGTACATCTCTCCGTAAGGCTTCTTCTGACATTTTGTTTTCTGTAATAAAGGCAGTCAAAGTATGCCATTCATTCAAGCTATCAATGGCAAGGACAGAAGACATTGAATGCAGCATGTTGCACAGAATAGAGACCGGTTGAAGACAGGAAAGCCATGTGAAGAATATGGAATACTCTCTATGCACTATTACATTAATTCCTAACCTGGCAATGTAGTTTTAGTTATATTACAGTAAGCGGGGAAAACCCTTTTCTCCTCGCCACGCTCGACTGCCCTAAAGCTTGTCAGCTGTGACGTAGAAAACCCCTGCAAACACAAATAGAGCTTAGCAGTTCCTACTTTTACAGCCATAGAGGAAATCCGGTATAAAATGCAGCATGACAAGATAATGGGTTATTTTGGGGTTGAGTTGGTGGTTGTTCCCCTTTTTCTCTGAAAAAAAATAAATATTTTTTTAAAAGTAAGACCTGTGTCATTTCATGAGATTGAGCTCCAGAGGTATTGGGACAGTGACACATTTTTTGTTGTTTTGGCTCTGTACTCCAGCACTTTGGATTTGAAATGATACAGTGACTATGAGGTTAAAGTGCAGATTGTCAGCTTTAATTTGAGGGTATTTTCATCAATATCAGGTGAACCGTTTAGAAATTACAGCACTTTTTGTACATAGTCCCCCCATTTTAGGGGACCAAAAGTATTGAGATAAATTCACGTGTATTAAAATAGTAAAAAGTTAAGTATTTAGTCCCATATTCATAGCATGCAATGACTACATCAAGCTTGTTACTGTACACATTTCTTGAATGCATTTGCTGTTTGTTTTGTTTGTGTTTCAGATTATTTTGTGCCCAATAGAAATGAATGGTAATCATGTATTGTGTAATTTCAGTCACTTTCATAGTAAATCAAAGTGACTGAAGCACAAATATCATACCCCCCCAAAATGCTAACCTCCCTTGTTATTGTAATGGTGAGAGGTTAGCATGTCTTGGCGGTATGATATTTCTGCGTCTAACTTTCTCACTCATCATTATTGACGATTCATTCAGGATTATCCATAATCATGGTGGCATCCACATGAATGTAAAAGTGTTTAGAAACATATTATATTCTTATTAAAGCTGACAGTCTGCACTTTAACCTCATAGTCATTGTATAATTTCATCCAAAGTGCTAGAGGACAGAGCCAAAACAACAACAAAATGGTCACAGTCCCAATACTTTTGGAGCTTACTGTAGTTAATACTGCATTAAGTTCCTCTTAAATTACTTTCACTCTGACAGTCAGAAAACTCATCATTACTTCACTCCAATGCCAATTTTAAGTTTTCGTGTGAGAAAAGCACTTTAGAAATCAAATTCACATGAATCATTATTACCATCCCCCTCCCCTCAAACAGGTGTCTACAGGGGGACGCCACAGCAAGACCCAGTCGTTACTATCCTGTAACCGCAAGGCCCTCAACCTAGCAGACAGTATACCAGCCATCCACCTGCAATTCACAGAGTATTACTTCCCTGACAACCCCGGTTTGCCTGGTATGAGCTAACCATATACTGTTGTTTGTGTTTCTTGCAAACTGGTATTTAGTCAATATCCTAGTAAATTATTCAAACGGTAGTTTCTTGCTGATCCTCCAATTCAATATTCAGTTCTCTTGTGTTGAAATACTTTTTCCACATTTTGTTACGTTACAGCCTTATTCTAAAATTGATTTTTTTATTATATTTTTTTATCTCAGCAATCTACACATAATACCCCATAATGACAAAGCGAAAACAGATTTAGCATTTTTTTTGCAAATGTATTAAAAATAAAAAACAGATACCTTATTTACATAAGTATTCAGACCCTTTGCTATGAGACTCGAAATTGAGCTCAGGTGCATCCTGTTTCCATTGATCATCCTTGAGATGTTTCTACAACTTGATTTGAGTCCACCTGTGGTAAATTCAATTGATTGGACATTGGATTTGGAAAGGCACACACCTGTCTATATAAGGTCCCACAGTTGACAGTGCATGTCAGAGGAAAAACCAAGCCATGAGGTCGAAGGAATTGTCCTTAGAGCTCCGAGACAGGATTGTGTCGAGGCACAGATCTGGGGAAGGGTACCAAACATTTCTGAAGCATTGAAGGTCCCCAAGAACACAGTGGGCTCCATCATTCTTAATCGGAAGAAGTTTGGAACCACCAAGACTCTTCATAGAGCTGGCCGCCCTGCCAAGCTGAGCAATCGGGGGAGAAGGGCTTTGGTCAGGGAGGTGACCAAGAACCAGATGGTCACTCTGACAGAGCGCCAGAGTTCCTCTGTGGAGATGGGAGAACCTTCCAGAAGGACAACCATCTCTGCAGCACTCCACCAATCAGGCATTTATGGTAGAGTGGCCAGACAGAAGCAGTAAAAGGCACATGACAGCCCGCTTGGAGTTTGCCAAAAGGCACCTAAAGACTCTCAGACCATGAGAAACAAGATTCTCTGGTCTGATGAAACCAAGATTGAACTCTTTGGCCTGAATGCCAAGCGTCACGACTGGAGGAAACCTGGCACCATCCCTACGGTGAAGCATTGTGGTGGCAGCATCATGCTGTGGGGATGTTTTTCAGCGGCAGGGAAGACTAGTCTGGATCGAGGCAAAGATGAACGGAGCAAAGTACAGAGAGATCCTTAATGAAAACCTGCTCCAGAGCACTCAGGACCTCAGACTGGGGCGAAGTTTCACCTTCCAACAGGACAACGACCCTAAGCACACAGCCAAAACAACGCAGGAGTGGCTTCGGGACAAGTCTCTAAATGTCCTTGAGTGGCCCAGCCAGAGCCCGGACTTGAACCTGATCAAACATCTCTGTAGAGACCTGGAAATAGCTGTGCAGCAACACTCCCCATCCAACCTGACAGAGCTTGAGAGGATCTGCAGAGAAGAATGGGAGAAACTCCCCAAATACAGGTGTGCCAAGCTTGTAGAATCACACCCAAGAAGACTCAAGGCTGTAATCGCTGCCAAAGGTACTTCAACAAAGTACTGAGTAAAGGGTCTGAATACTTATGTAAATGTGTATTTCCATTTTTTTAGTTTTAGAAATTTGCAGACATTTCTAAAAACCTGTTTTTGCTGTGTCATTATGTGTAGATTGATGAAGAAAAAAAACAATTTAATTAATTTTGGAATAACAAAATGTGGAAAAAGTCAAGGGGTCTGAATACTTTCCGAAGGCACTGTATATCCCTCTCTTCATCCCCCTCTCCTTCCCCAGTACCCAATACGAACCTGTATGCCCAACTGAACGGCCTACAGCTGTGCCTGGACCCAGCCAGTCTGCTGTGGGTCAACCTGTTCTCTAGGGGCCTGCTGCGTACCCTGGAGCAGGTCAAAGCCTTCTACCACCTCCAGGACAGTGGCAAGGCAGAGGAGCACATGGACATGCACATGGACGCAGCTCAGATCAAGGTGAGGCTGGTTGAATAAACCCAGACCAAGCTGTCAGAAGGAGAGTTGCATCGTTGCAGTCAGTGTCCCTTTTGGCAGCAGGGTATTACAGCTCATTACACAACTTTAAGTAATTTGAAGTGTTTCTAGTGTTGCTCATGAAAACTGGATGAAAACCTGGAAAACCTTCCAGATGTTTGCCCTTCGGGATTTTTGTGTAGAAACACTACTTTATTTGGTAATGAGTATGCAGTTCACAGTTTTGTAATATTTATGTCTTTCGTCTTTATGATGAACAGTTTTCTTTCCAATGAAATGAAAGGGGCACATCATTTAAACTTTGGTGTTGATGTTATTGCAAGGTTAGTGTATCAGGTCCAGGAGATGACTGTGTTCCTGTTTCTGTGCCTCCCCCCTGTCTGTCTACAGCTGATCATTCCCCTGGAGTCGTCCATCATGGACCACCAGGACCGGCCCCAGTCCCTGAGCATCACCGTCCCCCAGACGGTCCTCAGCAACACCCGCCACTTCCCCCACGGCGCCCGGACCGACCTCCACACCACCTACAGCAGCTTCTCCACCTGCCACTTCTTCCAGTCAACTCCCCCCTGCTCCTTCCCCCGAGACCAGAGCTTCTTCCTCCCCCTACCCTCTGCCTTCCTCCAGCACTCCCTGGAGATGGAGCCCCTGCCCCTGTCTGAGAGGAGGCCCCTCAGGGCCAAGGATGTCTGGTTCCTCAGCCTGTCCAGTCTGTCCATGAGCTTCGAGGGGGCGCGGAAAAGCAACAGGGGCAGAGCTCACCCCTTCGTGGAGCCTTTCACAATTTCTGTGTGGATGTGTCGTCCGTCTGAGTTTAAGGGCAGTTCCCTGGTCTCCTCCCCCAGTGAACCAGCTCCTGTTGATCCCGACCATAAAACCCCAGAGCAGCAGGAGAACCACCTCCCGCCCAACCTGGAACACAACCAGGACAGTCAACAGGAGGCTCCAGTGGCTTCTATCCATTTCCTGGCCCAGGCCATCACACCTGTCAAGGTGTGGCTCAACCACTACCAGTATGTTGCCCTGTTGCGGATGAAGGACACCCTGGCCAGGCTGGGGGATGAGCTGGGCCGGGACACCAGGGACGCTAAGCAAGCCAGGGGCCAGGAGGCTGACCGCCCTACGGTGTGCCTAGCCCTCCTAATGGACTCAGTGGAGCTGGGGCTCCTGCTACCACCTGCAGCCACTGAACCAGAGGAGGAGGAGGCCCACACCCCAGGGTCTGAAAGCCCCAGCCTGACAGACTCCGACCTCTCCCCCACTCACCAGGCTACATTGCCAGGCCCTCTGGAGGATAGTGGGATAGGAAATGCCACTGCCACCGTCAACAGCTCTCCTCCCCTTGAGCAGGAGGTGGATGGTGTGGTAGAGGAGGCCAGCGAGGCAGTAGAGGGCATGGAGGGGGAGATGGCCCAGGGGGATGGCAATGGTCCTGTTCTCTCTCCTCCCTTCTCCCCTGAACACCATCCCTCTCTCCTGTCCAGGGACCCCTCTACCTTCAGCCTGGAGGGAGAGCTGTCCACTGCCCTCACCGCCACCAAGGACGTCACCAAAGATGCCTTTAGCGCCTCCCTGGACCTGACTAAAGGGGCGTTCTCCATCACAAAAGATGCCTTCAGCTTCATGAGTCGCGGGTCGGGGATGAGCAAGCTGTTCAATCCACAGGCAAAGTAGGTTTCCCAGCATGCTCTCCTGCTGTGCTGTTGTCATTACACCATATGGTTCAGGTCCATAGTGTAAACTGTATGGATGTGGTTTTACTGGTGTGAATGAATATAAAGGCTGTTGACCCTAACTCACCCTGTTTCTGTTTGTGTAGGGAGCAGCGCCCTGAGGAGGGGTCCCCCATGGCCAGCCTGCGGCTCCAGTCCATGAACCACTCTTTCTCACAGCACTCATTTGACAGCGCTATCCTGGACGGCAGCCTGCCCAACGACCACCTCTCAGTGGAAAGCGACACCAGCGAGAACTTTGTCATCCTCATGGATGGTAACTCCCCACAATATCATCAGTCACTTTAATACCATCCAAACTATACAACACATGTGCGTATTGTATCAAGGGAATGTAGAACATAAAAAAAAAGATACACTATCTATCTAGTAAGATGATTAAAAACAATAGGCTGCTTAATCTTGAATCCCCCTGGCCATAAGTAAGAGTTTTGTTTTTCTGTTGTGGTTTCAGAGTCAGGAGTAGAGTCCATGATGCGACCCAACGGCACCCAGGAGCCCAGTGGAGGCAGCCCTGCCCTGGGGACAGAGGGGGGGTCCTTAGCTGACCTGAGCAGCTCCCTGTCCCAGAGCATTGAGGACATCACACAGGACACAGTGGGTCCCATTTACATACACACGCTGTCCAGTGTGACATTACAGAAGCATTGTCAGCATTTTCACTGTATATGCTCAGCAATCATACTGTAAGCTGAGCAATGCAGAATTCTTATTGTGGTTAAATGATTCTGCTGTGCTGTGCAGACCTCTGTGTTGTTGCTGGTGCTCAGTGGGATGGCCTGTGTGACGGACCTGAAGGGAGAGGACCTGGTGGTGGCAGTGGAGGCCCAAGACCTCACCCTCAGACAGATGGGCAACGTCAAGGTCTCTGACCTGCTGGCCGGACTGGTGCCAGGTAACTGCAAGCTACGGATGGAACTATATGCTTTTATTCATTCTGGATGACCGCCAGAGGCAGATTTGGATAATAATCCAGCGTAAACATTACCTCTGACAGTCACCGAAAATGAAATAGAATTTATCTACCTAAAGACCCTGCACCTTACTTAGCATCAGTCACACTCAACATCTGTCTCAACACACTGGCTCTCAATTTCAAATAAAAATGGTTCCTTTTGTCAGAGAACACTGTCCTCCCAACCCACATTCTCTCAGATTCCCTGTGAATCACCTGCACACACAAAAAAAGAAAAACTACACCTTATGGAACAACGCGGACTGTGAAGAGGCACACAGGCACACTCACACACAGGCTAGCACACGCATGCTACACACACATACAGTGGCTTGCGAAAGTATTCACCCCCCTTGGCATTTTTCCTATTTTGTTGCCTTACAACCTGGAATTAAAATGGATTTTTGGGGGGTTTGTGTCATTTGATTTATACAACATGCCTACCACTTTGAAGATGCAAAATATTTTTTTGGGTGAAACAAACAAGAAATAAGACAAAAAACAGAACTTGAGCGTGCATAACTATTCACCCCCCCCAAAGTCAATACTTTGTAGAGCCACCTTTTGCAGCAATTACAGCTGCAAGTCTCTTGGGGTATGTCTCTATAAGCTTGGCACATCTAGCCACTGGGATTTTTGCCCATTCTTCAAGGCAAAACTGTTCCAGCTCCTTCAATTTGGATGGGTTCCGCTGGTGTACAGCAATCTTTAAGTCATACCACAGATTCTCAATTGGATTGAGGTCTGGGCTTTGACTAGGCCATTCCAAGACATTTAAATGTTTCCCTTTAAACCACTTGAGTGTTGCTTTAGCAGTATGCTTAGGGTCATTGTCCTGCTGGAAGGTGAACCTCCATCCTAGTCTCATCTCTGGAAGACTGAAACAGGTTTCCCTCAAGAATTTTGCTGTATTTAGGGACCATCCATCATTCCTTCTATTCTGACCAGTTTCCCAGTCCCTGCTGATGAAAAACAAGGGGATGGTGTTCTCGGGGTTTAGAGAGGTGTTGGGTTTGCGCCAGACATAGTTTTCCTTGATGGCCAAAAAGCTCAATTTTAGTCTCATCTGACCAGAGTACCTTCTTCCATATGTTTGGGGAGTCTCCCACATGCCTTTTGGGGAACACCAAACGTGTTTGCATATTTTTTTCTTTAAGCATTGGCTTTTTTCTGGCCACTCTTCCGTAAAGCCCAGCTCTGTGGAGTGTACGGCTTAAAGTGGTCCTATGGACAGATACTCCAATCTCCGATGTGGAGCTTTGCAGCTCCTTCAGGGTTATCTTTGGTCTCTTTGTTGCCTCTCTGATTAATGCCCTCCTTGCCTGGTCCTGTGAGTTTTGGTGGGCGGCCCTCTCTTGGCAGGTTTGTTGTGGTGCCTTATTCTTTCAATTTTTTTATAATGGATTTAATGGTGCTCCGTGGGATGTTCAAAGTGCCTGATATTTTTTTATAACCCAACGCTGATCTGTACTTCTCCACAACTTTGTCCCTGACCTGTTTGGAGAGCTCCTTGGTCTTCATGGTGCCGCTTGCTTGGTGGTGCCCCTTGCTTAGTGGTGTTGCAGACTCTGGGACCTTTCAGAACAGGGGTATATATACTGAGATCATGTGACAGATCATGTGACACTTAGATTGCACACAGGTGGACTTTATTTAACTAATTATGTCACTTCGGAAGGTAATTGGTTGCACCAGATCTTATTTAGGAACTTCATAGCAAAGGGGGGTGAATACATATGCACGCACTACTATTCCGTAATTTATTTTTTAGCATTTTTTGAAACAAGTTATTTTTTTCATTTCACTTCACCAATTTGAACTATTTTGTTTATGTCCATTACATGAAATCCAAATAAAAATTCATTTAAATTACAGGTTGTAATGTAACAAAATAGGAAAAACGCCAAGGGGGATGAATACTTTTGCAAGGCACTGTACATTTTAATATTGAATATATTGTGGTATTATACATTTTGTGTTGTAGAAATGTAGTGGTTTTTTTTTATGTGCTTGGACCCCAGGAAGAGAGCAGCTAATGGGGATCCATAATAAATACAAATTCACACTCATATTGTGATTTAATCACTCCTGTAATCACCTCACTCTCTCAACCCAGTGTAACTACTAAAGACTCTCAATGCTACTATTAGACCACTCCGCATCCATAGTACCCATTCTCTGACTACACAACACACAATTTTTTCCATGATGTCTGTAGCTCCTGGTGGGTCTACCGTGGGCCAGAGGCAAGGCTGCAGGGCAGCTCCCATGGTGGGCATGCGGATGGAGATGGGTCCTTCTGCAGCGCGGCATGGTTCCCTGTCTGCGTTGGTGGGTCACCTGGAGCTGGGAGTGCGAGGCTGTCGGGTGGAGCTGTTGGTCTCTACCCTGGCCACCCTGGGGCCATTCCTGGAGGATGAGCTCAGTGGCGATGTCCAACCCATTAAGATCCGGCTGGAAAACGTCACCATCACTCTGAAGGTCAGCTGGTGACAGGGAGACAATGGAACTCTGTTGGGGTCAGATAATGTTATTTGACGTGTAGCCTATGTTTTTATACGTGGTAAGACCCCAACAGTGTTCCATAGGATACAGATTGAATAAATGACAGTTAGCCTGCCATCCATGCAATGGAGTTAACCAGTGTTTTCCCCCTCCTGTTTAGGATGATGGTCCCAAGATCTACCCCACGGCCCCCCAGCCCCAACCTGCCACCTTTACCGTGGACCAGGTGGTTGTAGAGCGATCTGATGACGGCATTTTGAGAATCAAAGGTGATTGGGGGAGAGGAGACAGACATATCTTTGAATATCACTATGATTACAATGATTTTGTCTCTCACTGCTTGAATGACATGCAATAACAGGAGTCATCTGTATTTCTAAATATGTATTGTCTGTCTTGCAGGTGGTGAAGGCCCAGTCCCAAGAGACTCTGTAGGTGGTGCTGTGGTATGTATGGAGAAGCCAGACAGTTTTTGTTCTGTCCAACAATAGCAGATCTCTACACCCACTCATTCTGGCTCACTCAGTCATTACTCATGAGATTATCACAGGGTTTATAAGATGAGTGACTCAAAGAAAAACAGCCATTGAACCAAAACACAAGCCGTCAACAAAAACATGATTGTGTTAGGGTATCACCAGTGTCAGTAAGGATTAGGCTAGTTCGAACCACCATGTAAAATGAAAGCGTAGCATACAGTGGGGAAAAAAAGTATTTAGTCAGCCACCAATTGTGCAAGTTCTCCCACTTAAAAAGATGAGAGAGGCCTGTAATTTTCATCATAGGTACACGTCAACTATGACAGACAAATTGAGAGAGAAAAAATCCAGAAAATCACATTGTAGGATTTTTAATGAATTTATTTGCAAATTATGGTGGAAAATAAGTATTTGGTCACCTACAAACAAGCAAGATTTCTGGCTCTCACAGACCTGTAACTTCTTCTTTAAGAGGCTCCTCTGTCCTCCACTCGTTACCTGTATTAATGGCACCTGTTTGAACTTGTTATCAGTATAAAAGACACCTGTCCACAACCTCAAACAGTCACACTCCAAACTCCACTATGGCCAAGACCAAAGAGCTGTCAAAGGACACCAGAAACAAAATTGTAGACCTGCACCAGGCTGGGAAGACTGAATCTGCAATAGGTAAGCAGCTTGGTTTGAAGAAATCAACTGTGGGAGCAATTATTAGGAAATGGAAGACATACAAGACCACTGATAATCTCCCTCGATCTGGGGCTCCACGCAAGATCTCACCCCGTGGGGTCAAAATGATCACAAGAACGGTGAGCAAAAATCCCAGAACCACAAGGGGGGACCTAGTGAATGACCTGCAGAGAGCTGGGACCAAAGAAACAAAGCCTACCATCAGTAACACACTACGCCGCCAGGGACTCAAATCCTGCAGTGCCAGACGTGTCCCCCTGCTTAAGCCAGTACAATGCAAGGGCTTAGCATGTCAGTCAATGAACCAGATCTAACATCCAAGAACACCATAGAAGAGGGGTGGAATATGCTTGGGGCTAGGGAGTTGAAAGAAAGAATCCAGTATCGTAGTTTGCCGCAGGGCGAAGGAAACGGAGCATCCACCAAACACCGCCCACGAGAAGTGCTCTAAAGGGAGTCCTAGCATCTCAATCTCACCCATAGAAATTTGAGGAAAGTCGTGGCCAGCGAAGCCCAAACATACAGCCTAGAGGAGATCTGCATGGAGGAATGGCCAAATCCAGCAACTTGTGAAAACCTTGTGAAGACTTACAGAAAACGTTTGACCTGTGTCATTGCCAACAAAGGGTATATAACAAAGTACTGAGAAACTTTTGTTATTGACCAAATACTTATTTTCCACCATCATTTGCAAATAAATTCATAAAAAATTCTACAATGTGATTTTCTGGATTTTATTTTCTCATTTTGTCTGTCATAGTTGACGTGTACCTATGATGAAAATTACAGGCCTCTCTCATCTTTTTAAGTGGGAGAACTTGCACAATTGGTGGCTGACTAAATACTTTTTTCCCCCACTGTACATAAAGTGCTTATTCGTGATAGCACAGTCCCTACAATAGTTGCATTGTACTTATGTTGGTTTTTAACCTTAAATGTGTGTGAAATGGTTGATATAGAAACACATGTACTCCTGTTCTTGTCTGGTTATCTTATTAAGGCTAAGAGGGGCCAAATCAGGGCAGCAATTACAGCTGATGAGATTTGGCTACCTGCCCTAGCAAATAAACATTATTTAGAAGTGAAAAGCAATAAAGACAACAACCTTTTCCCTACAGAATACGTTCCTGGAGTCCCAGCTAACGGAGGCTCAGGCAGCCCTCTCTCAAGCCCTCACTGACCGAGAGCGTCTCCTCCTGGAGGTTAGGAAGTACCACCCCATGTTTGACCTGTGACAGCTTTACTTCCCCGGCCAGCAGAGGGCAATATACTTGCACTGCATCAATAAGGGTGTAAAGGAACTGAAAGAAATGTCTGGACAAAATTAGCTCTGTCTGGACCCAGGCATATGACAATTTCTAAAGAACAGTGATGAGCACATAACAGTGGAATCCACCCTGGTGGTTCCAAAGTTCAAGCTCTTGTAATGAATTGCACAAAAAAACAGTGTGTCACTTCCAGAGAACACATGTAGTAAACAGGAGCCCTATTGTAGTCACTCTTTACAAGCTAAGGTATATGACAGGTATTTCTGTACATAAAAAGCAATTCACACCTAGTTTTAATTTAAACCACCATAGAGAATAGTTAACTCATTATTGTGCTGCATCTCACTGGCCATCTATCTTTAGCAAATCTTTGATTTGAAGAACACATGCCAAAAGAACTGTCAGTTTAGTAGTTTTAAGAGTCCGTTGATGTTGTTTCCTGTACAAATCTTTCACTGTCAGGCATGCCCTGTGAAGACCACTAGAGTTCTAGGAATGTTGGTGTGTGGGTTTACAAACACCCACCAAGCTGCAACTATAAAACTGCTCACTAATGTAAAGTAGATCCTGTCCATAGTTGTACATAACTGTAGGTATGTACAGTTAGTAGCTGGTGTTTTAGATGCATTCATGTAACATTATTTAGGACTATTGTGTATTAAATAGAAGAGTAGGGAAAGAAAAACACTGACTTCAAGCAGTACTGCACTGTATACATGGAGCTCCTGTCTATGGGATCACCAGACACACCTCCGCATACCTATCCTTTTGAATGGTTGTGTATCAGAGAAGGGGAAAGCTCTCTCCACTCTTCTCAGACACCAGGTCAAAACATTCCCCAGTGTTATTTTTCTTTCCATTATAAAAAAAAAAAAAATGTATATGAATTTTTGTTACTGTAACACTAAATTTGCATTCTTGGTTGAATGTTCAGATGACACATGCTTTTTGATCTTTTGAGGAAAGTTTACACAATAGTTACAGTACATTAACTGGTTTAGTTTGTTACTTGAGAGGTGTACCCTGCACTCAGACGGGTATGACTTGATCTCCTTTACTCACCCATCTGCATGGAAAAACACCATCTAGGTATATACTAATACCTCACTGACCACAGCTGTGGTCCATCCATAGAATTAGACTTCTATAAGTCCTTCTCCTATCCCTAACTTTTAGATACAGATGAATGGATTGGGGTATATTAATCTATGGTTAGAAGCACCTGTTTTGGATCCCAATATGGATGAAATGTAGTGTTATTATTTTGATATGAACTGTTACAGGCAGTCATGAATATTAACTTTTTGCAGCTTTTTAAAATAATTTTTGATAAGACAGTGTGGCTACTAGCCATCTCAACAAACACATTACACAGCCATCAGATCAAAGAATAGATAGAGATACTGCATCTTAATTGCGTATATATACACAAAGTATGTATAATACTAATGCTTTTATCTACACTAAAACTGACAGGTGCACTAATGCCAATGTGTTGTTGTATTCCACCCATTGGGTACCTTTCTATTACTATGTAACACCTGTAAAGCCTTTGTACTAATTGGAGTTATATTATTTAATGTGGTTATTTAATTAGATTTTTGTTAGTAATTATAAGATATCTAATGTGGAGGTGACAACGTTTATTATTTGTATGTTTTTTTTTTCTGTTGTCTCAGAAGATTGGTACTTGGTCCTGATGACAGAGAGGATAGACATTGGGTTAACGTTACTTAGATCAAAGTCACACTCAGCAAAACAAGTGTTAATAGTGAGAAACTCAAATGGGTCAAGAAGAGGCTTGTGTATGTGGTATGGTGCTAACAAGTTAACTAACCCTCAGTTGAGCTTTTAGCATCTTCTCCACTCTCTTCTGAGTGGAACTGCAAGACCTCTGGTGGCCATAATAATATACCACTGTACCAAGCCTCCGGGTCTGTTTCTCTGGTTGCCTTCCGATTTTAATGTATGAATGACAGTGTTACATTCTGATTGAGGGCTGTAGAATGAAACAAAGGATGAATTCTGTTTTACCCATAGCCTGAGAACAGTTTTGAGGTTTTTTTAGTTATTTTTTTATGCAAAAGTACCAATGCCTAAGGTTAACAAATTAACAATTGTCTAATGTGTCTGTTTTTCTCCCCGTCATGCATGTTTGTATTTGAACATTCCTTCAAGGTCACATTCAGTGTAACAAAGCAGTGATTCCGTTCTCAATAATATCAACAACTCTCAGAAAATACATACTGCTCCCCAATAATTTTTTTGATTGTAGATATTTGCTTTTAGTTTTTTTGCATGGCCTTGTCTGTCAGTAGCTAGGTTTCCATCCAATTGGCGACAGAATTTAATGTGAATATTCTATCATCCGCATTAAAACAATATGCCCATTTTCCCACCAGAGTCGTTTCCATCAAATTGATTTGTTGAGGTTAAAGGTTGTGCGTGATGATGTAGTTAGTGCACATAAAAATAACTTTTCCCATTGACCAAATAAAAAATAAAGTTTTCATCGGATTTTCAACTCTACGGATGGTTTTGTCACAAAAAATGTTGCGTTATATAGGTTGTTTAAGCAATAAGGCCACAAACCCCGAGGTGCCTTATTGCCATTATAAACTGGTTACCAACGTAATTAGAACAGTACAAATAAATGTTTTGTCATACCAGTGACATACGGTCTGATATACCACAGATTTCAGCCAATCGGCATTCAGGGCTCGACCCACCCAGTGTATAATTAAGAACAACAAGCGACGCGTGCGCTACTATGGGGCAAAACAGACAGGGTTGGCTTAGACACTTGACCAAATGTACACTTTATTTTGTCTCAAAATGTATTTATTTTTAAACGTAAATACATTTGCAAAATGAGCACTTGTCTCTCAAATACATTGTTACAGTTATTGGTTAGCTAGCGAATTTTTGCTATATTAGCATAGACATGACATTGGTCAAAACCCTCCAAACAAGATCAATAACAAGATACAACCAGAGAGGAAGAGGCGAAGCGAGAGGGATAACTTGGCCCAAAACCTGTCTTCTCCAGATTAGGTTGTTAAAAGTGTACTGATCTGAGTAGGACACGTGACAACCCGGTAACTTTGAGAAAAACCACTTTATATAGTTGTGCCTGGTCGTCACTAGCTACCACAGCCACAAAGTCAAACACCGCCTATTTCTAAAATGTATCTTCTTAAAATGTGATTTTAAACGTAACCTCAACCACACTGCTGACCGTATGCCTAACCTTAAAATAAGACCAAAAAGCAAATTGTTGTTTTCATACATTTTTACGTAGCAAATTTTGACTTTGTGGCTGTGGTAACTAGTGGAACCCGTTGCGCTCATTGGCTAGAATGGTCCCACCGCCTCCAGACAGCCTTCCATTTTTGTAGACGTTTCTTTTCATTGTTTGAGCGGCCACTAGAGTATCTAGTCGATATAATGGATAATCTGTGATACGAGCTGAAACGAGCCACCTTTGATTCCCCACATGGCAGCTTCTTGTCATTGCTGCTAGCTATCTGACCTTTCAGAATCATAATGCACGCCTTCCTGCCGCATCGATGCGCGCACATAATTTTCTTGACGTTGTCAGCCAACCCGTCTAAACCTGGTTATTGTAAGTGATGTGGAAGGAAAATTATGTCCCTAGTTAGAAAACTGCAGTTATCTGACTGAATGTGACTAAGCTCGTCTAAAATCCACCCCCTCCTTAGAACAACCCTGTTAGCCCTCCCTGTCCGCAGCAGGGTGGCCACTCAGCCCCCAGCTAGCTCCCTCTTCACAGGGGACAGCCTGTCAAGTTACACTTCTGCTCCCCCTTCAACTTGCCTGGGTTACCATGACAACACAGCCTCGATCCAGCCAAATAGTGCCATGCATTAATAAGGGGTGGGACTGGGATACTCCGACCCTTTAGTTATCAGAATGACTTTGCAAAAATACTGTATTCTCATTGTCGTGGAAGGAGTGAGTGTGTGCATGTTATAACTGAACTGATTGTTCTTTTGCTATATGTGGAATATTTGCACTTTTAAGTTTGGTACATTCACTGGAAATTGCACTTGCTTAGTGTGACAGTGAGAGAATCATCCCTGAGAAGATAATTACCTGATAACAAAATTTGTTGAGCCACTTTTTTATGTAATGTTTGTGTAACACTTGCTTAGAATTCCTCACCTAAGATAGTTTGTCATTGCATCATGCAATAAGACCCATGTAAACTTGGTTCTGTGAACCAAATGAGTATGTGAGAATTTTTCAAAGTGATAAAATATCAAACCAACCTTTATTTGTGTGCCCTCTATTCTCCTAGTGTAGGTTGGTGACTGAACTGATTTATTGGCCAGAGAGCAGGTTTGAGGTTAGTGTCTACAACATGCACACACAAGCTCAATTTACGAAACTTCACCTGTCATCTAACGAGAAGATAATACATAATTAACAAATGTCATTTTATTTATTGAAATGTGGCCCATAGTTATCAACCCGAGTTCTGTATTAAAATGCTTTAACTGAAACAAAAAAACAACTTTTTCCCATGAGGCACTAGAAATGGACCAGTTTTGGATACATAATTTCAACTTTATGCTTCAGCAACAGCTCAAACAATAAAGCGTCAAATATACAAACACTAAGTAGATCTAATATTTTCATCAAACCTTGATGCTGTTCTATTATTGACAAGTATATCCAAGAAATACCCTCAACTAACACAGTGGTTGACTTTGGAGTTGGACTATTCCTGACAGCAGTATACTGCATTTGCCTTCATGGCCAAACATTCTCAATGCCAGTGGACATTAGAATAGAGAGAATGAACATGATAAAGTGGTGTGTAAGTTGCCACTATCTGAAAGGTGGAATACATCCCAGCTTGGCTCTGTCCGTCTATAATCAGCAAGGCATGTGTGGCTCAGTGGAAGAGAATGTTCTTGTGCTTTATATTGGGGATCTGCTCTCTGCTCTTCAGCCTCCTGACAGCCTCCCTCATGTGCTTGGGCTGCAGGGGAGGCATGTCCCCCCACTTCTCACACACGTCCAGAGCTGCAGGGCCAAACAGAAGCATGTCAGTAGTCAAAATGCCTCAAAGTCTTTGTTGGTGGAGATGCAAGACAATCAAGATCTCATGTCTGGTCAATATTAACCCAGTGATGTCCCTTACTCACCTTCTTCCACTATTTCTCCAGCAAAGACCTTGGAAATACCGGACATGGCGATAACCACATTTTGAGAGACTGAGGATCCTGTGATGGACTGTATCAGCTGTATCAACCAGGTAAAGACAACATATGTTGAAATACAGCATACATGCATCAGTGAATTTGTTGATTTGAAATTGAACTGAAATATTACATTCAACTGCCTAAAGGTCTTACCCTCTTGATAGCAGCTTTGGGGAAGGCCGAGCGTCTGTACATCTCATAGCGGTTAAGCTGCTCCTCGGAAAAGGAGGAGACTAAAACCCTGGACAACACGAGAGGGAAAATTTGTCATGTACGAATGCTTGCAACAAATATCTTTGTGCAGTTACCACACAAACACTTTGTTAATAGAATGTACAGTATCTGAATCTTACTGCATCTTCTGTATCTCATCCTCGTCAACCTTTTGGCGCCTGTCCTTTTTCTTCTCAGGCTCTACTTTCAGCTTTTTGGAAGCAGGATGACCTGCGGTTCCCTCATCCTCAGCCACAGAGTCCTTCAGCAGGTCATGCAAAGTAAACAGAGGATTGTAGATATTGTACGGAAGATGTAACAAATAGTTGACTATATCTTGAATGCGGCTCGTGAGCTCTGTTGGAAGGTTGTTGTAGGGTTCCAGTACTTTTGGGGCCATTTTCTATATCATGACACTCTTTATAAGTTATAGTTATTCCAACACACTGACCTGTTTGTTTTCGTGTATGATTGATTGTGAGGATGTATCTTTTGATTCAGTGTCTGCAGAGGTCACGGGCACTTCTTCAGTGTCTTCGGTTTTAGGGCTTTCTCCAGCAGCCAATGATTGCTCAGAGTTGGATTCAGTCTTTATCCGAGCCGGGTCTGCCATAGCTCATTTGAAATCTTACCATCCGAGCCGGGTCTGCCATAGCTAATTTGAAATCTTACCACACCAATCGAATTTATAATTATGCAACAGTCAAAGCAGCAATAATAATAATAATATGCCATTTAGCAGACGCTTTTATCCAAAGCGACTTACAGTCATGCGTGCATACATTTTTGTGTATGGGTGGTCCCGGGGATCGAACCCACTACCTTGGCGTTACAAGCGCCGTGCTCTACCAGCTGAGCTACAGAGGACCACAGCAATGGTTGACTCGAGAAACAACAACAAAATAACTTCACAGCTAGCTACGCTCACTTACACAGAATTCTACGAGGCTAGTATGTCGTTAGATGATCGTTAGCTCCTTTGGCAAAATACTAGCTAAAGTGCGAAAGTGAAATGTTTTGAAGCAACACCAAAATAAAAATTTGAGAACATTCGTGGCCGGAAGCTGCTGCTGAAATCCACTTCCTTTTCCCGTGTCGTCACTAGTTACCACAGCCACAAAGTCATAAACCCCGCCTATTTCTAAAATGTATTTTTTAAACCTAACCTTAATCATTTTAGTCATTTTAGCAGACGCTCTTATCCAGAGCGACTTACATACTTGATGAAAGAGGCACTTCACACTGCTAACCTTATGCCTAACCCTAACGTTAAATTAAGACAAAAGCACATTTTTAATTTTCATGAATTTTTACGATATAGCCAATTTTGACATTGTGCTTGTGGTAACTAGTGACAACCCTTTTCAAACTTTATTGTTCTTTATTGAGAGAACACTGAAAACAAAATTAGAAATTTTTTTTTTCTGTCTTTTCTCTGTCAGTTGAGTAAAGATACACACACTCAGTTATCTTTGGTCCAGTGCTTTAGTGGAGTATGTCTATTCAACTAGTCATACATGTTAAAATGCTTGGCTTGTAAATGGGAAATAAAATACTATGCTTTTTTTCAGATGATGCTCTGGCTAAATGTCATTTGGTAATGGAAGTTTTTAAATTATATCAATATGTCAATACCCTCCATTATTAACTGGAAAATACATTTAACTCGCTGGCACCCACATATTTTGTGTTTTATGATCCTACAGTTTTTTTTTTTCAGGAGAGATAAAGGATGTCAACACAGCTGATTATTGAATGTACAATCATGTGCACATGCACAGTGTACTGTGCACTTATTGTATTTAGTAGAAATATATATTTTGTGCATATTGGTAATAGAATAGAATAATCACCAACTAATTCACAAAAATGAGAAATTATGAAAAAAATGACTTGATCGACGTCAGATAGGGGCAGTTTCGAGGAAGTGACGCGCACTTGAGACTGGGCGAAGGAAGTTTGCTCCGTGGTACTGAACGAAACTTTTCCCTGGAGCTACAGTGGAAGGTCAGAACAATCCTGGAGAATTTTGCTGCTGGGGGAGACTGATCCAGTCGTGCGGGGAACCATTGTTTTCATCGGCGTTGAAAGAACGAGTACGCCTGTGAGATTGGTAGAGGAGAGCAAAGGATTTTTTCTCCCGTCTTCTAAACCCCTCTTTCCCCAATCCTCCGACCCCCTACTCTATCCGAGATGGGGAAGGAGCAGGAACTCTTAGAGGCGGCGCGCACAGGGAATCTTGCCGCCGTGGAAAAGCTTCTCTCTGGGAAAAGACAATCGACTGGAAGTGGCAGTGGATCATCGGGGACTGGTGGAAGCAGCAATAGCAGTGGTCACAATGCTTCTCACCCGCTTTCCAGCCTTCTCAGGTAGGGGAGATCAGTGAATGAATGGGAGGCAGAGCGCGAGGTGTTCCGACCAGGAACGTCGGTGCTCATGGGCACGTTGTAAACGGCACAGCCACATTCAGTAAACAACCCCCCGGATCAATCAGTTTATTGTATTTCGGTTGTAATTACAGCAGCGGCTATTCATTTGTTAGTTTGCATCCATGCAGTGGACCCTTGCTTCGCCATGTTTAATAACACATCCACGTTGCCATGCACGCGCAATAAAGTGCCTCTTTGTTAATGATCGTCAGTGAAAAATAAATAAATGGAATGCAACATAAAACTCATTACATACTCAAAGATATTCATATGTAATAGATTTCAACCTCTAGTCCTCATTTGTTTGTGTGGGCAGCTAAACTACTCAATGGGTTTTGGTTTGTCTAGACATTTTGGACCATTGAGAAAAAGTCTACGAACGCCATAACATAATTATAAAAATGTTTTTTTTTTGTCACCGGTGCAGTGAAATGTATTGTTTTATACAGGGTCAGGCATAGTATTACGGAATTAGGGTAAGTGTCTTGCTCAAGGGCACATCGACAGATTTGTCGTATTGTCGGCTCTGTATTCAAACATGGGACCTTTAGGTTACTGGCCCAACGCTCTAACCGATAGGCTACCTGCCTATTAATGTCTGACGCCAGACCCATTAATTTTCCTATGCCACGGTGAAATTGGTTTACATAAACCACGAAAAAGGCAATGAAACAGGATCTTTCGGTGAAATGGGTCATGATTCTTCCCCCTACATTTTGTTGCACCATGCCCTCCCGAAACTTGTCTCTACTAGCAAGTGGGAGGAATGGAGTTTATGTCGGTGGACTGGGCAGTTGCATGCTATTTGTACGTTTTTTTCCATCTTGCTCAAGGTTATTAAATAAATAATACATGTTGTGCTTTTGGGATTAGATAGATGCCCACTGAGAGTAGTGAGAAATAATGTCAGAGAGACTAATTTTGGTGACACTCGTTCTACAGCCCTTTCAGGTAAAGGTTGCATGAGAAATGGGACAAAGGGAATACACAATGACCTAGGCTAACTCAAGCTCTATGAGACACTGGGCTAGTAGTCATTGCCCTGGGACCTGTGGTGCCCTTTATTGTGTACTCAGTAACATGCCTCAAGGTGCTTTTTAAAGAGGCCATGGTACATTATGGTGCATGCTTGGTAAACAAGAAAAAGGGCAGTGTGCTGTTGGGGTAGTGGAAGCACCTTGTCTGAAACTAGGCTACACACAAGGACCAACCCTACAGAGTAAACATGGAAAAGATTGGGGATAACATGTTGAGAACATGTATCTCTTGAGGTCTATGCCACAATACACATGCCAACGAGAGAGGTTTTTCATTATTTCCTGTTTTTCACGCTAGGACTAGATAAACCAGTTGCAATTAGAATGCTGGCCACACACAGATGCATAGCAGCCCTGTCAATCAACCTCCTAAAAGCCTCATCAGGGTGCCTACAGCCCATGGCTGAGACAAGTGTTTGCTAAAAGCCCTTAGGTGATGTATCACTGTGCTACTCATGCCAGGCTGTACACTACACTGAATGTACTCTAGCTAATTACAATAAACCCTATTAATCGGAAATCCAATTCAGGGATATCATGATGCATTCAAGGCTGCCTCCATCCCTGCCTGTCTGTTATGGATCTGTGGGCGGACACGGACTGAAGAGCCCATTGTATCAAATCACATTTTATTTATCACACACGCCGAATATAACTGGTGTAGACTTTACAGTAAAATGCTTGCTTACAAACCTTTCTCAACGATGCAGAGTAAAAAATAAATAAAAAGTTACTAACATGAGGAATAAAATAAAAGACACAAGAATGGAGCTATATACAGGGAGTACCAGTACCAGATCAATGTGCAGAGGTATTTGAGGTAGTGGCCCAGGGGGAGATTTTGCTATTGTATGTGACATTTGATTTAGCGCATGTAATGAAAATGACTACGCTTAGGGCACATGTGACAAACTCATTCCACAGAGTGTTTTTGGTCCACCCTTGCACTTGATTGATGAATTAAGGTCACTAATTAGTAAGGAAATCCCCTCACCTGGTTGTCTAGGTCTTAATTGATGACCAAAAACCTGCAGACACTCGGCCCTCCGTCGAATGAGTTTGACCCCCCTGGTTTAGGAGCATCGATGTGAAATTACCATACTGATTCAGACATTGGTTCAATAGAGTTCTTTCACTAAAGATGGTTGGTCTGTGTAGTGTGCAGCTTGCTCAGCTTATTTACATGGTGGAAAATAACTGATGTTTAGGCCTAGGCCCACATCTGTGCATGTTCAACTTTCATGTTGAACTACTTCACCTGCAAAATGTGGTTGTTGTTACAACTGACGTAGAAATTTGACATGGTGCAATATTATTTCCAGAAAACCCATCTAAGTTGTTGTTACACTGACATCTGTTCATAGCACGGCATAGGTAGTTGCCCTTCTTTGCATAATGCATGCAACAGTATTTTGTATTCCCACAGTAACTGTCAGCATTGGTGATGGTGTGTTGTGTTTGTGCAGAATTTTTGCCATTCTTCCTTTGGACTGGAGTACATGTTGAGACTTGTGGTGTTTTTGTAGCCAGGCAGGAGCACAGCTTCGCTCTGCAGAATGGCTGCTCTTCCTGAACACCTGAATGGAAGATACAATTGAACAGACACTGAGTCCATCATGTTCAGAAGCACCACATGTGCTTTGTGTTACTCTGAAACAGAAATAGATGGAATGACACTGACACTGGATAGCATTCCGCACGGCTATCATGGTGAGAGACAGGGAGCCCAAGGCGTCAACATTACCTGCTCAGCATCAATAATAACCTTCCAGTCTGAACAGCAGCAGACTGACGCCTGATAAGGCTTTCCTGTTTACCATGGTTGGGTTCAATGACATTTCACTGCCAGTCAATGCCAGAATACGCATGTGGTATTCAGTTGACAAGTTCCTGAATTGACTTCCATTTAAGTAGAATTTACCTCTGTTATTTTAGATTGCTTATATGGCTTTTTGACTGCCACTGTGCAAACCTCTCTACAATAGAACATGTGATGGGGCCTAGGCTATGTGTGAGTGGATGTAGTTTAATCTAGTTGCTCAAGATCAACAAAGAAGCAGAAGTGGTGAAGCACTATGTCATACACTAACTGCAAGCTATGCCTTTACAAATAGTGTACTGTACACTTATTGCAACATACTGCCAGG